TTTCTCTGGACTTTCATTTTTTGTGTCCAAGTCAATCAGACAGTATAGGTGTAGAGGGACGGCTGGCATCTCCGTTGATACGGTAATGAGGAGTGACGGGGGGGATGATGCCAGCAGGTGAGGCTGATGGAGAATAATGGGCCTTAATGAGGAAAAGAGCCTGATTCCCTCCTCGCGTACACAAGCACAGGACACGCTTTCTCTCAGCTCAATCACATAACTTGGGTTTAATTAGAAATTATTTTTAACAGTAAAGAAATTGCCTTACAAATACACATGTAGCATTTTGGTACAAGGTAATTGCATTCTCAACCTTGTGGGAAAAAATTATATTAAATAAAGATATTTTTAAGCCGTTAGATAAAAAAAAATTATAATTTGAAAGAAGACTTATGTTGACTAAAGCCCAAAGTATACCCCAGCTGTTCACTTTCCGCGTGATGTAATTTTGGTCATTAGGAGGGTTCCCGGAAGTCCGCACTAAGCTCAATTTTTGTGTCTGCACGGACGGTTTGCGTACAACAGTTCCAAGTTACATGAGCGCTTGAAAACAAAGTCCACTAGATCGTGGAAAGACATCTTCGGCGCTTGCCGTGCGCACTCTCACGGCCAAAGGCGTAAAGTTTTCACGGAAAATGAACGCAAGCCTTAAGACTGTATTTATATGATTAAAAAAAATCTGTAAAAACAGTAAAAAGCAAAGCTGAGTTTTTGAGCATCATTACTCCAGTCTTCAGTGTCACATGATCCTTCAGAAATCATTCTGATATGTTGATTTGCTGATGCTAAATTTTTTTTTTTTTTTTTTTTTTTTTTTTGGTTCTCAATTATTAACAATGGTTCTTATTATTCAATTTTGCTGCTTAATATTTTTGTGGAAATTAATTTTTTCAGGATTCCTCGATGAAGAGAAAGTTCAAAAGAATATATAGTTTATTTGAAATAGAAATCTTTTGTAACATTATAAATGTCTTTACTGTCACTTTTGTTCAATTTAATGTGCCTTTGTTGAATTAAAAAGTATTTATTTATTACACACACAGACACACACACAGACATACGTGTGTGTGTGTGTGTATATATATATATATATATACACATATATATATATATACATATCTCCTACCCCAAAAGACTAAAGTTATGGCTGCTGAAAATTCATAAGAATAAATACAATTTTAAAATATCAAAATAGAAGTACTTTTAAATTGTAATAATATTTCATAATACTGTTTTACTGTATTTTTGATCAAATAGATACAGCCTTGGTGAGCTTTTCAAAAACATTAAAAAAATATTATTCCAAACTTTTGACCGTTGTGTGTAATTTTACAAAGTTTTATATTAAAGTTTTATTAAATTTTATTTTTTATGAAAATAATTTTAGCACCTTTTTTTACTGCCCTGCTGGAATATCTTAATGTGCTAAAACAAAATGTGCTAAAAAAAAAGTGTGCTTCTAATCCTATTGGGATTTCACACCACACTCTTAAAGAAAATTCTCACTTACTGTTTCTCAGATATATAGCTTGGCAATTAGCATCAAATGAAGTTTGAGTGGTGTGTGTGTGTGAGAGCGAGAGCACATGGCTGCTGGGGGTCCATTCCTTTATTGCCAATCAGGCGTCTCTAATCTAAAGCATGCGTAATGTGTTCTTAACACTGTTAGCCTGATTAATGTCTGATAATAACCTGCTCTGAATGACATTCTGCTCCGCCTTCATCTGTTTAATCTAATCTGCCCTAATGCTATTAGCACTATTAGATTTCTCACACACATACACTCACACACTTATTTATTGTTTGGGCTCATAAAATATCAGTTCGGAGAGTGGCAGGGTGTCGCTAATCTGTCCAGTGTCAACTTCCATTACAACAGACTGGCCGTAGTGGCGAGGTCCAACCCTTTGAGCCTGTCACTGTATATTTGTGTGTGTGTGTGGTGCTATAGGATTCTTTGTTCTCTGCCGACTTCTCTTTTGTCTGGGCCTGGGGATTTATTTTTGTCCGACCTAAACCGTTTGTATGTGTCAGATGTTGTGATGTATAATTCAAGGGTTCTTTGTAGACTGAGATAGAAAAAGTGTCACCTGCCTCTCAGCTTTCAGTCTGTGAAATGACTCTCTTCTTAAGTTGTTTCTAAAATCTGTTTATCTTCATTTGATCTTTTTGTCTAGTTTGATTTCTATCAACTTTGCTGTTTTTACACTAAAGGCAGATGTATAAAGACATGATGAATGAAATGTTACTTTTAACACACACACACATATATATATATATATATATATATATATTTTTTTTTTCTGCTCATGACAGTATATTTCATTATTTTTTCTAGTTTAATACAATATATATTTTATAATTATAATTTTGCATTTCTATTTATGATGAAATTATATATTTTATAAATTAACTTAATGTTTTTAATCAAATGTATACTCTGTATATTAAAATTTCAGATTTATTTTTTGTTTTTAATTTTGAGTATGTTTTTTAATTTAAAATTTTAATAAGATGTATACTAATTATAAATATACTAATTATAAAATATATACTTTTTCAAACACAAAGTTTAAAGGTACCATTGAATCAAAGTTGGCAATTCTTTTTTTAAATGTTTTATGTAATGTTGCAGTGTTTATTATAAATGATTTATCCATGCACATCATTATTTAAATATGTGCCCGTTTAGTTTGTAATGCCCACTTTCTACGATCCAATCAAATGTCGAAAAACAAAATCCAGTCCTGCTCTTTATTGCTTCATGCTTCACTTGGATATACATCACAACAGAGAAGAGAAGTTGGTCACAATTTCTGTTTCATGCTGACATTAAGGCTGCATTTCATGTACACAGAACAAAAGCAGCATCAGAGCCATCTTTAAGATGTGTCAGCTGCATATTTTAGTACCACATTTATGTAGCATTGCACGTTTACACAGATTATGGAGGTGCTCAGAGCGGCCTTAACTCTGCTGTGTGAAAACTTAAATTTACCTGCTCAGTGCATAAACATTTCTTCACTGTGTTTGTAGGTGGTGTGTCACTGCCTGGACACCCTGGGATCTCGTGCACAGTGTTTTGATGTAATACAGAACGCCATCATTAAGAATCTGGTGAGTGAACGTGTTTTTCTACTGAATGTTTTGCATGCGAGTGGGCAGTGGAGCCAGACACCGTTTGGGGTGAGACTCTCTCCGTCTCTTTGTAGTGTGGACTCGCCGTGGTGCCAGACTGTGTGTGTGCAGCGATTTTAAGGTGTGTTCCCCGGTTACTGGATGTCAACTTCCTGCCCAGCGACAAACTCCTCCACTTCCTGTCTAACTGTTGCCTGAGCATGCTCAATCTGCTGCTACAACTGGAGCAGAGTGCCCGCAAGAGGTGTGCTCGCTAACACGCTCGCACCCACACACACAATATTTGCATAGAGTAACATTTATACACCACAAAGAAGACTATTGGATAATACAGCAAAGAGAATTTGGAAAACAGGACTGGGGAAAGTCCAAAAAGGGCAGTCTCATGAAGACCGCAAAATAAAAAAAATAAAAAAAATAAAAAAACCATTTGAAAATAGTTGGTTTTGATGCGCCTAAAATTCCTTACGTTTTTATCAGCAATTGATTTATTCCGAAATGGTGTACAAGTGTCTATTAATTTGTGTCTGTAATGTATAAGAAATATTAATTACAATTATTCTAAATAATAATAATAAATACATGATCATTATTTATAAATATATAATATATTCATTACATTTTTGCCGCCTTTTTTCACATAAAAGACTATCGCAAACTTCCGCTTTATGCTGACTTCAAAGAAATGCGTGGTCCAATCGCTCCTAATGCTCAAAACGAAAACTAAAAATGTTGTCAAAACATGTTTATCTCCTTCAGGGATGCCGTGTGGGAGGCATGTTTTGCTGCGTTGAGTGCGGTACCGAGGCTCCTGCGATTGGTCCTGCAGTCTTTTAGTGTGTGCAACCTGTGTGAGGAAGAGCTCCCCCTGTTGGCACAGATCCTGTCATTACTTCTTCAGCATACTCAATTACGCAACCACATGATGGCCAACGCCAGTCTACTGCAAAAAATCATACAGGACTTAACGGTATGGCACATCAAAATATGTAATGGGTAATGCTTAAAATTGCATGCATCTATTTTAATTTTGCTTCAAAAGATCAAACTTAAAATGCTTACATATTCAAATTTGAAAACTCAAACTGCCGACACTCTCTTTACTGTTTGTTTTTGTAGCATTTCTATGGTGGAGAGACTCGAGAGCAGTGGCTGACTGACTTGCTGTACTGCTACAGCGTGACAATGTCTGGTCAGCGGGCCAACATGGCCATGAGGGACATCTATTAACTGCTGACTGTTGCAGTATTCAGTGCCACAGCCATTCATGTTCTTTTTGTTTTCTGATTCCAGTCGTTTTGTACAAAATGAAGAAAATAAACCTTGTTATAATGAACTGATTAGTTCGGTTTCAGATTTATTGCACATTTATTAATATAGACCTGGAGAGATTTTTTTTTTTTTTTTTAATTACCCACTGTTTCGTAATCAACTGAATTCATGAAATAATGGTATTTACTCAAAGCAACTGGAACATACAAACAGCTGCTGTTTTAAAGTTTCCTAAAGAAGTCTGAATTTAAAAATGGGAACACTACATTCAAAGGTTTGGGGTCAGTAAGGTTTTTTTTTTTTTTTTTTTTTTTATAAATTAATACTTCTATTCATCAAAGATGCATTAAATTGATCAAAAGTGACATTTGTATTGTTATAAAATATTTCAAATAACTGTTGTACTTTTGAATGTTCTATTCATCAAAGAATCCTGGAAAAAATGATCCGTTTTTACAAAAATATTAAACAGCACAGCTGTTTTCAACATTGATAATAAGATAAAATGTTAACCAAATATATTAAAACAATTTCTGAACGATCATGTGACAATGGAGTAATTGCATTTTATAACTATTAAAATAGAAAACTTTAATAGCTTTTAAAAGTTTATTACTGTATTCTTGTTTAAATAAATGCAGCCTTGGTGAGGATAAGAGTGTTTCAAAAACAAAATCTCACCAACCTCAAACTTTTGAACGCTAGCGTAATTATTACTCTCAGGATTAAGAACAAAGTCTGTGAGGTAAGATGATTCTAGCAAAAGTGACAGCAACATCTTTCCCTTCTTAACACATAAATTGAGGTATCTTCACTTTTACAAAATTTATTTTACAGTAATACATCAATAGTAAAAAAAAAAAAAGAGTACAATGATTTATAGTGATGAATAAAATGTATTAATAATCCAACCCACTCAAAAATAGGGCTGGCGATAGAGTATAAGAATACAAAGATCTGTGACAATATCAGAAATGGGCTGAAAATATGAGTATGTTTCAAATAGAGGGGCAGTTTAACAGCCTTGTGACATCTTTAATGTACACTCAGTGGTCTCCCATGCAGGTGGTCTTGTTATGTAAGGCGTGTCACCCTTACGACAGGTATATGACCTGTTGTTGACAGAATGAAAGGTTATCTAATACATTTGTTGTGTTTGTGGTTTTAACCTCTGCAATAATCAAGGTGATACTGCAGATTTCTTATGTAAACCGAGACACGTACCATGCAAGTTCACTGTACCTCATGCAATAGTTTAAATAAACATCAAATGAGTTTAAGTGCATATAATCCCTGTCTCTTAGAGAGATTTAGTTCCTGTAAAAAAACGTTGGAGTCCATTTTGTGGTGTTAGTTCTTAGTTCTGTTCTGACTGCTTTGACTGCCAGTACTGGATGGGCGTAGATGGTAAGAGTATTGCTTTGCCTGATTTAAAGAATCCACCAGGCTCACACAGTCAACGGCACTCACTGTGGATAAAGAAAGCACACACAGGCTATCAGTCAAACCTTGGAATAATTACGATTTTTAAAAATGTTTTTGAAAGAAGTCTCATTAGGCCAATCCACACTGCACTGACAAACACTGACCAATGCAGACAAACACCAGATTACAGTATATCACTTCTCAGACGTTCCACGACCTGACAAACACTGATTCAATGGCGAAAACGAGCGCTGACCAATGACAACAGACATTGACACGTGTCAAAACACATGACAAGAAAGACATTGACACATCCGACAAAACCTGCAGAAAATCTGTCAGTGCAGTGTGAATTGACCTTTATGCTAACCAAGGCTGCATTTATTTGATCAAACATACATTAAAAAACGTAATATTGTGAAATATTGCAATAAAAAAAACTTTATTTTAATATATTTTAAAATTTTACTTATTCCTGTTGCAAAGCTGAATTTTCAGCATCATAACAGTCTTCAGTGTCACATGATACTTCAGAAATCATTCTACCGTAATATGCTGATTTGGTGGCTCAAGAAACGAGCAGATTTTTAGCTCAATTTCTAACAATTATTACTATTATTAATATTCCTATTATTATCAATGTTGAAAACAGTTTTATGATGCTTAATGTTTTTGTGGAAACCGTGATACTGTGTTTTTTTCAGGATTCTTTGATGGATATAAAATTCATTGTACAGCATTTATTTTCAAAAGGAAATCTGTTGTAACGTTCTAAATGTCTACTGTAACTTTAGATTGATTGAATGTGTGCTTGCTGACTAAAAGTAGTAATTCCTTTTCTTTTTTTTAATCTTATCCCAAACATTTGGTGGTGTATCATGGTTTCCACAAACGCTTAAAATATTAAGCAGTTTTCAACATGGATAATAATAAGAAATGTTTCTTGAGCACCAAATCAGCATCATAAGAATGATTTCTGAAGGACACTAAAGATTGGTGTAATGGCTGCTGAAAACGTGCACCACCAAAGAACACAAGCAGTGATTATAAACCTCAGTACTCACACTGTTTGTTTGTTTTGAGTGACAGATCCAGCAGCACTTGGCTTTGGCTCTGTGGTTTAAGCACTGCAGCCCGCAGAGAGTGCCCTCTCTTGGACGGGGCGCCACCTAGACCAAATATAACAGCAGTGTTTATTGCTTTAGATGTGGTCACATGCACATTTTTTTTACTTGAATGGATCAATATCTCCACGTTAACGTCACGACTCACGACTGATACTAGAGCTGTTAAAATAACAAGAATTGGACAGTTTGGTATCAAACGTGCAGGTGTGTGTGAGCGCGTGTCCATCTGGCAGCGGCGGGCAGGACGAGGGGAGGGAGGTTTGCGTTTGTGAGCGGGAGGAGACAGCTCGACATTCCGTCTGACAGCAATGAACTTTTCAAAGCGCTGTGACTGTCAGGGAGGAGCGGGGAGGGGAACAAGTGTCCGTGTGTGTGTGTGTACGTGCACGCGTGTGTTTGAGAATGAGAGCGTCTCTGGCCTGCTCAGCCATCATCACCTGTTCATGTCTGTTGAAGGTCAGTTGCGTTAACTGGGTCGAAACTCCACCTTATCAACTGATATGAAAGGAGGGAGGGGGTGACGGTGTGTGTCTGTGTTGGAACGTCACATAAAAACATAACACCCTCTATAATAATCTTATTAGTGATGCTTGGCCTACTTTTAAACTTAACTTATGCTCCGGACAGGAATCATAACTCAAATCATGTCGCTATTTAAGGAAAGGTATCCAATTACTTTTACAAGCAATCAGGCATATGGTTATAAATAAATAAAATTCTATTTTAATATATCTTAAATAGTGTCACATGACCTTTTGAAATCTTTCTAATATGCTGATTTGCTGCTCAAGAAACGTGTTATTATTATCAATGATTAAAATAGTTGTGCTGCTTAACATTTTTGTAGAAACAGTGATAATTTTTTCAGGATTCTTTGATAGAGAGAAAGTTCAAAAGAACAGCATTTATTTGAAATATAATCTTTTGTAACATTATAAATGTCTTTACTGTCACTTTTGACTATTTTAATGCATCCTTGCTGAATAAAAAAATTATTTCTTTAAAAAAAAAAAAAAAAGCTTTCCATTTCAGATAAATGCTGTTTTTATGGAACTTTCTATTCATCAAAGAATCCTTAAAAAAATTTGTATACAACTGTTTTCAACATTGATGATAATAATAAATGCTTCTTGACCAGCAAATCAGCATATTATAATGATTTCTGAAGGATCATGTGACACTGAAGACTGGAGTAATGATGCTGAAAATTCAGCTTTACCATCACAGGAATAAATTACATTTTAAAATATATTCCAATAGAAAATAGTTATTTAAATTTGTTTTTATTTAAAGGTGCTCTATGTAACTTTTCTACTAAAATGAATCCTTTTTTTATTGCCTGTGTGTGAAGGGGTTGTAATCACACATTAAAATGATCCACTTGTCGAGTTTTGCTATTACCTCTGAAGGACAGTATTCCTATTTCTATGTGAAGTCTCCGGGTCGGATTTACCGCGAAATCCGAAATCCTCCCGAGCCTCTCTCCTTATATACAGTCTATTGTAGACGGTCAGGGAGTTACGTCCGGTTAAAGGCGCACGTTTTTCGGCTTATATCTCAGTCAATCTTTGATCAATATTCCCAAGACTCTAATCGTTCGTAGTGCTGGACGGGGCCTTTCGAACGAGCCCACCCCCGAGGTCCAACCCGCCCGGCTCCCCGAGTTATAGCCGTTCGAAATCGGGGGTCCCAGCGAACGGCGATCCGGTAGAGGGCATCCCCGAGGCCCGCCACTCTAGCGTTCGGGCAAGGGTTCCCCTGGGACCTCCTCCCCCGAATTTGAGCTCTCTGGGTCTTTGTGTTCCAGAGATACGAGCGATTTTCTTCTGAGATCGTGACGTCACCGGCGTCCGCAATTTTGCAGCGCGCCCGATGGTTTTCTGCTAATATCTCCGCGAAAACACCACCAAAAACTATGGAACGTATATGGTTCTTTTCAGCTCGACTAGATGGTCCCAACGAGCTCGGTGCTCGCCGAATCCGTCTAGTATTCGCCGAGATATTTGCGTAATAGATGGTATTGTCTATGAGTTCGAGCACGAGCGCTCTTGTAAAATTTGGTTGCAATCTGAAACATCACCACTAGAGGCCGCTAAAAGTTACATAGAGCACCTTTAAAAACATAAAAAAATCTTACCGATCCCAAACTTTTGAACGGCTATATATTTATATAATATGCAAATTAGGGCTGGGAAAATGAACAAACTCTTTAATGTGTACCTACATGTCATACCCAACATGATTAAAACTGTGATATTAATTGGTTTCCCTCCTAGTGGACAGTAATATAACACTCACCATAGATATTTTGGAGCACAGAGCTTTTTTTCCCTGCGTTCCTGGTAGGAGCAGCTTGAACTTCAGAAGAAGTTTTATGGTGGGTGTGGTCATGAGCTATAGGCCACTCCCATAATAACTGAATCAACAGGGCTGTGAGTTCAGCAGACTCCGCCCCTTTCACAGTCCTGCACAGTACCTTACGAAGACGACCCCGAATACAAGACCTGAATGGAAAAACATGTTACGCTTTCACAAGCACATACGTACCAGCAAATGCAGCGACAGCATATTAAAGATGTACAATCAAACGAGCCAACCACATTACTGTTCATAAAAAGGACTTGAAGAATGTGCATATACCTTCTTTGTACTCTGAATCCCATTATTTTAGTAAAGCCATTAAAAGAAAGTGCACTTATGGGCCTGCATTACACTCCCTACACACACACACAAATAAATAAGAGGCCTATTCTGGTGACCTCCCCTCAGAGGTGTTGATGTGCTGGTGGGCACAAAGCCATGCCACAACTCAAACAAGGAACATGTGGGCAACATATGAGCAGACACAGATGGAATCTGCAGACTTTTCTTGCAGGATGTTCATTCATGTGAATGTTTTGAACTTAACAATTTATTGTCCATTTATTTGTAAACAAATAAATGTACATTTTATGTATAGAAAAATACAATTTATACTGTGAAAAATTTGTATTATAAATATGTGTAAAATATTAATCGGAGAGATAAGATATAGGAGAAGACACATTAGCTAGCTACGTTTACATGCATCCAAATAATCCGTTTATAATCATATTGACGGCTCAATCAGACGGAAAAGCCTTCACATAAACACCTCAATCGTTTAGATTCAGTTTGATCCGAATGAAACTTCGATCAGATTGAAAGGGATGTTGTAGACCACAAATAATCTGATCAACAGGAAAAAAGTAAGCATGTAAACGCTTGAATCTGATTATTTTCTCAAATTTGCGCACATGCACAGTGCCATGATGCATGTGTACATACATTTTACATCATACAAACGTGCATATGTTACGCCTCATGTCTTACGAACTGGCCAGTGGACGAGACTGAATATTTACTTAAAGTCCCCCTGTGGTGAAAATGTTTTAATGTTATTTATATGTCTATGTGGTGTTTTTAATATTCTTTAAGACAAACCATTTGGAAATTCATAATTCAACACCATTGCTGAGTATTTTCTCCTTAAAACTGCACTAAACCAAAGGCAGTCTCCAAAACACAGTTTAAAATCGCTGGTGTTTCGGACGTTCAAAACATTACCCTGTAACCAATCCTGTCAAAGTGTGATCGTCAACGAGTGGATCTCTGAGTTGGTGTGATGGAGCTCGGGCTAATTTGCATATTCATAGAACCGGGTATACTAAATGAGGCAAGGGTGTAGAGTTACATTCAAGCCTTTTTAAGGCATGAAGAATTTTTTTTTTAAGGAAAAAACTTTTAAATATGTCATTTTGGTGATCAAAGATGAGTTTTAAGGGATACAATTATTGAATACATGGTTACTTTAATATTTGCTTACTTTAATATTAGTTACTCCTGACATTAATGCCAGCTTTCATTTTTAGATGTAATCAAGGCAAAATGTACAATTATACTCACAGTAACTCTGGTGACAACATCGCGATAGCTTTTTTCGGTTCTGGACACTAACTTTTGTTTGGAATACATGTAATGCACATGTAAACGAAAATGTACATCAGATTGCAACTTTTAGGGTTCATATAAACAGAACTTTCAGAATCTGAAATGGGATTGGATTTATTCCGATTGACGAAAACTAGAGCACGTGAATATGCCTAGTTTAGGAGACTAGTTTCCAGGGACAGTGGTCAAACACAAAGTCATTATACAAAAATATTTGAGTTTAGAATGTTGTAGTTGGCCAATCAGAATTAAGTATTTATTGAAGTAGAGAAATAGTGGAAGAAAAAAATCAGTACCTCCTCCATGCTCTCTGTATCACAACGGCCGCCTGATTTTTACAACGGATGCTGTCTCCCTTCATTTCCTTCTCTTTGTCCTGTTGTTTTTTTCTTGTTCTGCTCATCCATCTCTCTTTGTCCATCTCCTGTTTCTCTCTGCCAGTCTCTTTCTGTCCCTCAGTCCTTGATCTTTTATCCTTTTCTCTGTCCATCTCTCTTTCTGCCCGTCTCTCTTTTTGTCGTGTGACTGAGGTTCTTTCGGAGGGGGAGTTGGAGATGTTATAATGCTGGGTTCCTGTGGATTTGTGGTCTGATGCTGGCTTGTTCCCCTTGGACGTTGATCTATAGATGCCGTCTGTTGGTGCCTCTGTGGAACCTAGTGTAGACTGGGCCGCTGGTTTTGAGTGGGCAGCTGTAGTCCTGGGTCTGGTATGTACTGCTGATTTGGGGGTTGTGGTGGTCTCCATGTGGCCTGGTGCTACATGGGCTCCTGTGTGGACCAGTTTGGCACTGCCTGGTCGACTGGACCCAGCGGGGGATCGGCGCTCATATGTGGATCCACATTCCACTGATACGCATGTGTCTAGGCCACACGTCTCTATCACACACACCTCCTCTACAGTGCCTGAACACTTCTTGGTACTCAGAGGGGTCACCGTGGGGCCAGAGGTCGCAGGGGGGAGAGTAGTGTCTGGTGTTTTGGCCTCTCTCGTTCTGCGCTCTGACAGAGAAACAAAGCAATTCGTTAGAGATGACAAAGTGCAATAACATTAGGTGGCACAACAGAAGATTATTTGTTATTATTATGGTGCTGCTAAATGCTTGATTCTGATTGATAGACAACTGTGCTAAAGTGTTGACTGATTTTCAGAAAACAGACTAAGCATATGTAAGCAGTTTAAAAACGTAGCAGTAAATGAGAGAGAGAGACAAGAGTTGGTGGTTGCTTAAAAGATCCTCTTTGTTGTCTTTTAATAAACATTGTAATGTTGAAATAAATAATACATATAGATACTTAAAGTAAATAAATAAATCAAGATATAAACCTGAAGTATATGTACAGAAATGGTCTAATTCTTCCACACAACTGGCTGAACTCAGGTATTAAGTATACGTGAATGTACTTTTTTATGACATAAGCATCTAAAAAATTATTAATAAAATAAATAACCAATTAAAAAATACATAAAATAAGTAAATAAATAAATAATATACCTAAACGTGCAGTATTATAGTGAGTAGAAAAAAGTGAGATAATCTAATGTAATAAAAACTAAAGACTTTCAAATTAATATTTTACACATATATATTATATTTTATTTATAATACTAATTTTTCTCAGCATAAATTCGGTCTTTATACATGAAAATATATAGCTGCCTTTTACATTTTAGGATGGAGGTCCCTCGCAAGAGGATGAACATATTTTGTATTAAATTAGACCATTTTTTATTTTATGAATTTTATATAAATATTACAGGATTTGTATTGTTGGTCGTTTATTGGTTAGCAGCCATAACGTGAAAAAATGTATCCGCTTATTATCAGACAGATATATTTAATAAAATGTTTAAAAATACAAATTTATTGACAAATGAATGTGCATTAGCAAGGTCAGCATGTTATTCCTTACTTTTTATTCATAAACTAAACTCACCAGTTCTATGTTGTTTCTCTCTCCTGCTCTGTGAATGAATGTTATGAGCACCGGGGGACTTTTTGTGTTTGTGTCCTTTCACCGCTGGATCTTTAAACCTCTGCTCCGTTTCATCCAGTGAAAGTTTTTCCACTCCGACTGCAGCCAATGACACACGCTGCTTGTGATCCGCCTCAGCCAATGAGAGCTGCTGCTCTGCCTCACGTCTGCGTTCCTCCTCCCTCTTCCTAGAGAAACAAAAAACACACACAACACACATTTATTGACTTGACACATATTTATCCTGTTGATTATGACTGTCCTGGATAATTTGTTTAATGTTTGTTGTGCCGTTTGCTGCTGGCTGTCAGTTCTAGGTCAAGTATCTGGTTATGGTTGCCATTGCGAATATTCTAATACACTTAAACTACCGTACAAAAGTTTGGGATCAGATTTTTAAATTTATTTTTTAATTAATACTTCAGCAAGGATGCATTAAAGTGCATCAAAAGTGACAGTCATACTTTTAAATTGTTAAAAATATTCTATTACAAATAATAATTCTGTTCTTTTGAACTTTCAGTTCATCAAATATCCTGAAAAAAATGCATCACTTTTTTCAGCATTGATAATAATAAAATAAATGTTTCTTAGGCAGCAAATCAGCATATTAGAATGATTTCTGAAGGATCATGTGACACTAAAGACTGGACTAATGATGCTGAAAATTCAGCTTTGCCATCACAGGAATAATAGGAATTACACTTTAAAATCTATTAAAATAAAAAAATTGATATTTTAAATTGTAATAATATTTCACAATATTACGTTTTTTCCTGTATGATCAAATAAATGCAGCCTTGGTGAGCATAAGAGACTTCAAAAAATCTTTTGAACGGCAGTGTACGTACAACCCATTTTCATTAAGTTCATTTAAGGTTTTTAGAGTCAGATCAATTATTAATCTTTCATCTGCTTTTTGTTCAGATTATTGGTTGGTACAATATCTCTTTCAAGTCAATATCTGAGTTTAACAGGACAGCATTACACATCCCTCCATGGTTTTGAACACCTTTACATAGCAGGAAACAAAAACGAATGAGTAGATGGATAACAGATAAAAGACAGACGGTTAGAGAGTCGGACTACGCAAACAAGTTTAGAGGATGTATGTTAATGTGAGTATGCAGAGCCTGGAAAAGAGAGAAGAACATATTCCAATCTGTGTATGTGTGTATTCATTCATCCACAGAGCTGACAGACTCTAAATGTCAAGCTGTTGAGCAGCTGAGTGTTGCCCAATTAACAGAAAAGCAACGGGAGAATGAGTGAATCTCTCTTGCGCTCTTTCTCTCTCTCTCTATCGTCTCATCTATTTCCATTATTGACAGCAAGAAATTGATGCTCATATTCCTCAGCAGGCAGGTAGATAGATGAGCTGGTTCAGGGCAAACACACATAATTAAACAACACGTATTATATTCATGCAAACATTTCATGTCAGCTCCACAGATCAGCCTAGCCACATCAATCAGCACTGGATTGTGGGTAAGAGAATATTTGCACCCCACCATTTATCTCTTTCTTTTCAAGGCACAAGAACCTATATGTGTTTACGCGAGTCTTACTTTGCAGCGTCCTTGCGTAGTTGTTCATGTCTCATGAGGAGCTTCTTGCGTTCTTTGAAGGCCCGTCGGACCTTGTAGCCTTTGTAAAGAGCCTGGATGGATGAGGCGGCGATGTCCTGGATGGCGGCGATGGACAGAGCTCCATGCTCCAATAGAAACTGGGTCAGTTCCTGATGCTCCCCCAACAGGGCATAGTCTAGAGGAGTGTACCTAGTCATATAACACAGGGGGTTTTAAACTTTTTGATGCCACGGACTCCCAAAAATTTTTATTATATTTAACATTTATATAGCAAGTTTGGGGTTAGTAAGATATTTTATTTCTGAAAGAAGTCTTGCTCACCAAGGGTGCATTTGTTTGATCAAACATACAGTAAAAACACAGTAATATTGTTTTCCAAGTATGCCCGACTGAAGTACAAGTTACGATGGACATTTTACTATCCCATGAGGCCACGGGAGAGGATTTGTGAATGACAGTGAAGCGACGTAACTGATAGGACACGTTATAAGGGCAACATGGCAAATGTAGTATGTCCAGATTACATTAAAAACACATTCCAACTATATAGAACATACTTTTTTAGTGGTCGTGAAGTAATTACTTATTCAAAATAAGTCCCTACTCAAGAGAGTTTGTGATTTCGGACGCTTAATATTTTTGTGGAAACCATGATAAAAAAAAAAAAATAAAAATCAGGATTCTTTGATGAATAGAAAGTTCCAAAGAACAGCATTTATTTATTTGAAATAGTAAAGACATTTATAGCGTTACAAAGAATTCTCTCAATTTTGAAACATTTATTGCATCCTTGCTGAATAAAAGTATTAATTTCTTACTAACCCCAAACATTTGAATGGTTTAAATAAGAACATCTGATCTGCAACCACTAGGCCACACCACAAGAACTGTGTGCATGTGTGAATGTTTGTTACCTCTCCTCAGTGTGCTCCATATGGTTGGGGAATGTCCCACACCCCAAAAGCAGCTTCACAGCATCCAGATAACCGTTATTACAGGACCAGTGGAGCGCGGTTCTCCCCTTAACACATAAACGTACACAAAAATCAGACTTCTTGTTATTTTTCAGTCTCTCTCTTTTTCATATCTCAAGCAGGCCACGCATGGGTAATGGCCAGTACATGTTCTCAGTGTTGGCTTTGGGCTTGCTTTACAATCATACCTCCTTGTCCTGGATATTGGGATCTGCATCATGCTGAATGAGCAAGGCCATGCAGTTGATGTAGCCGGCATATGCCGCACACTGCAGGGGAGTTCGTCCAGCGTGGTCCTGGAGGTTAGGACTGATCCCGTTCTCCATCAGCACCTCACATACCTCTGCATTACCGCCCAGAGCCGCCCAGTGCAGCGCAGAGTGACCGTCTATGTCTACCAGATCAACACGTGCCCCTCCTAAACATATTCGAGATGCAGATTTACCATGAGCACTCTGGGAACTGGTGTATTTTCAACAGAGATGTCAGACACATTTCCACCGACAAAGTGCCACAGGAAGTTTTCAAAACATCTCAAGCGATGCTTGGCAAAACTAGAACACTACAATTATGATAAACGAAGCTGTCTAGAAAGGAATGTGATGCATGTGTCTAAAATAGAATTGTTTAATTACAAAAGCGGTTGCTTGCGATTCATTTTTTTATGTTAGAAATTTAAATAACATGACCATTGAATCAAAAGCAGCTCATGATGGAATAAAGACAGAATCATAATATCAATGTGATAAATTACACCAATGTTCATCAAATAAAAAAATAAAATAAAATAGATAAAAGTGGGCAAAAACAATTTAACTAATTATTTTAGACAGACTTGGAACCAGTGTTCATTTTGTTATCGAAATTTATGAAGAAAAATGTTCGTCAACGACCTTTTTTGCATGACTAAAACGAGACAACACAAACGTCGTTAAATGATGAATCTGACTATATCAACATGGAATAATCTCTCTTCATTTTTGGTCAAATTTTTTTTTTTTTTTTTAACAAGCCTCTACAAGCTTTCATGCTTGCAGCTGCCAGATGTCAAGATTTTAAGACCCCAATCAGAGCTTTTCTCTTAAAAGAATATATTTATTTTCTGCCCAGTGTTTTACTTAATCTTTGCAATCTGACAGCCATGCGTTCTCTCTACACTGTGGAAAAAGCGTGGATTATCTGAAAACACATGCTGAATTCAGAACTACATACTAGTATACTACTCGTATTACCTTTATGAAATATTAATAGTGTGCTAGTAAGTGGTTCCGAACTCAGCAACAGACAAACATACAAGCTGGAGTTTAGAGTTTATTCTGCCTCAAATTAAAGTGAGTCAGTCTGTGCTCCTTCACCGCTTGTGCTGTTTGCTGTGAGCGTACGACTAAATCTGCCATCAAACCGTAAAGCTGCAGTCCGTAGCTTTTTTTGGGTTAAAAATTATCCAAAATACATATTTGAGAAAATACATAACCAGCCAGTGTTCAAAACTCTCTGCTTGCCGTAGCTCGATTCAAAGCGGTAAGCTTGTAATAATGTTTTTAATTCCAGTGGTACTGGTGGATTTCCGCGGGAGATTCGAGCATGTCTTTGCGTCATTACGTCACATCTGTACACATAAAGAAGGAGTTTCGGCTAGTATAGGCTATATTGCGTGTGAGGATGCTGGAGGTGGAGATTTAAAGCCTTTTCTCACAGCACTTGATATAATTAAACTTATCAATTTGATGGCGGATCCAGAAAGGTTCAAACGACAATCACCAGTGACAACAGATTCACCCGCTGTAAAATACAAAAGACTTCGTTCGGACTTCGGAGTGGCTAACTTACAGAAAAAAAAGAGACTGCAACCGGGCCATGCGAAAACAAGGATACGTATTGGAAGGACATTACATGTAGTCACGCAATGCTGACGTTGTTAACATTAACAATTTGAGAACAAAGTATAATTTGCACGGTTTTGCGTGATATGATAAGCGATTTTTAGATTTAATCAGTGCGATTTACTGCAATGTCAGAACCAGAACAAAAGTGGATGTTTCTTACTTGTTCAGATGACATTTTCCGGTGAAAATTCTTATGTTGGTCATACTTCCAAAAATAATAATCTGTGATTCTGAATGACAGTATCCACATCGGTGCGGTGACTGACAGCTGCACACTCTCCTCAAACATTGTGTTCATCCGCGCTGTGTCGTGTCGAAGTACAACTCGCGTAAAGCTGATAATTCCGCGAATAACTGCAATTGCAGATTTCGAACAGAGATGGCGACAAAGAGGAAAAACTGCGGACTGCAGCTTTAAGTGATGAACTATATTAAATCTCAACTATATTGCTTGTGATTGTGGTTGTGGAATAAATGCACTATGTGTGATAATCTATTCTTGTTTCTTTTCTTTTTTTGCTGTTGTCTTAATAGAAAAGCATTAATGTAATTTGGAATTATTGAAATTTTAATTGTTGAGAGGCGTTTCTTGTTTTACCAGTTTTCATCATGTAGAGAGTGTGTTTATTTATATGATAAATAGCCTATAATAAATCAGGAAACTAGATTAGGTCAAATAACCATGCATACGAGATGAGATTATCTTGATTTGTGCTTATAGGTGAAAGTGCAATAATTCTGATGAAATAAAAATACATTTTTCAAATGACAATTGTTGTGATTATAAATTTGAGCAAAATAATTTAACCATTATGCAGCATGACGAAATTGTGACTAAGTTTGCATTGACTAAAACTAGACTAAAATGCCTAGACATTTAGTCTGTGTCTTAGTCTTACTAAACATAAACAGGACAAGGTTGCCTAAATATGATAAAAAACTAAAAAGTACGTTTAAGGACTAGGACTAAGGCCCCATCCACACTACTGCGTTTTAGTTTAAAAACGGATAATTAAAACGAATACGATCTCCGTCCACACCAGCGTTTTAGCTGCGTATTAGAATTGATCTCCGGCCACATTAAAACGACTGAAAACACGGATCACGTGACCATTCACCAACACTGGGCATGCGTGTGCCGGTGTAAACACAACTTCATTGATAAAATTATCCCACCATGCTCTGGGTTAACCCCAAACCGACGCTCCATGTACGGTCAACGCCGCCGCTGCACACGGGAATTGTCACAGATCGCTCGAATAATAGCTTGACTCCGGCGCATATAGGCAGTTATAGCGTTGTAAAATGCAGAATTTACTTGTACAACAGCTGCTAGCAAAGATATACGCCATGACTGATGACACCCAATCATAGAGCCGAGCGTGAGCCTCTACTACGTCATCGTTTCTAAAATCCTCCATTTTGACCCGTCTACACTAAAACGCCCTCCGGAGAATCAAAACGAAAAACGGATCGGCAGCGTTTCTAAACTTCTCCGTTTTGGGTCTCCGTTTTTGCCGTTTTAGTGTGGACGGGAGGTGCAAACGTAGCAAAAGGTCTCCGTTTTTAAACGAAAACGCAGTAGTGTGGACGGGGCCTAAGGCTAAGACTTATTAACTAAATGACTAAATTTTAAACAATTGCTGACAAAATTAACACTACTTGGAACATAATATGTCTAAATAATAAACAAACAAATAAATAAATATAAACATACTACATTTAAAAATACTTAAATTGTATTTGTATTTTTAATTTATTTTAGATTTTCGACATATAAATTATTAAATGTCTAAAGTAAAATGATTTAAGGGGAATAGGGGGATAAAGGGGATAAAGGGGAATGTATGCTGTTACAAACCTTTGATTAGTGTTAGGATGACATCTCTATGGCCCATCTCACAAGCACGAAACAGAGGCGTGTGTTTCATTACGTCCAGCGGATCCACCATGGCTCCCTGCTCTAGCAACAAGCGCACAGTGGACACATGCCCTGAGAGAGCGGCCGCATGAAGTGCTACACACACACAAAAGGAGCACATGAAGACAGCGAACAAACCGTCAACTCTTGTTAAGGCTGTATGGGGGGTACATACATTGGAAATGGCTTGTTAATTGCTTGATTGAAAAGAAAATGCAATTATCACTGATCTGAGCTGAAACTAACCAGTTTAGGCCAGGAATGGGTAATTGTGTTCAAAATGACAATCTGAGTGTGTGTATGTGTTTGCGAGTGTGTAACTCTCTCACACACCTGTCCCTCCATATTTGTCAGTCATGTTGATGTCCAGGTCCTTTTTCAGATCCAGCATAATTTTGATGACATCATCGCTGCCCTTCCCAGCAGCCCACATGAAGGCTGTTCGTCCCTCCAGATCAGGCTCATCGCGCACAGAGTGGTGTTTCAGGAACACTGCAACTGTGTCCTTAACAGACAGAAAACACAATAAATAGGTAAAATCACATAAAACCAATTAAATAAAACAATAGGATAGCAAAGGCCATGTGTTATAGCGATTTGTTTGCCTCGAATAGCTTATGTATTGTTAATATAAAATGGCAGCAATAACAGTAATCTCACAAAAGACACCAATGTTCATCAAACAAAAACATTACTAATAATCCCAAATTATATTTGTATGTGTATAAAAAATAAATAAATAAATAAAACTAATAATAATCCTAATTTTAAAAAAGTATAATTATATTTGTATGTAAATATATGAATAAACAAATAAATTAAATAAACAAATAAATGACTAATAATAATCCTATTAATAAATCATCTGGCAAGTACAGTATATATACATATTACAAAATGAATTATTGTATGTGTATAAATAAATAATTGAATAAATGAACAAATAAACAAATAAAGGAACATTTATATTTGTTTGCGCATATTGGAATGAATGAATAAAAAACTATTAAATAGACGTTCAGCCAAATGAAAAGCAAAAAATTCATGGTCCAATCAAACTAGATGTTATTTTACACACTCAAAAATGTCTTACAGCATTGTTGCTCTGAGCTCCATAGTGCAGAGGTGTTGCTCCCTGACTGTCTGATGGGATCATCCCAGACTTGTTCCTCTCCAACAGGAGGTGGACAATCTTTGCATGACCTACACAAACACATACAAACCCTGTGTTAACATCTACACTTACAGCAAATGATTTAAATTTCAAATAATTACTTTAACCAGTCAAATTATGCATGTGCATGAGTGTAAATGTGTGTACCCAGCAGCGCCGCCCAGTGCAGTGGTGTCCTGAACAGATTGTCATAGGCTGTCACGCTGCAACCCTCGTATGAAGTCAGGACCTCAACCACCGCCTCATTCCCATCAGCCACTGCAAAGTGCAAAGGGGTGCGTCCCTCATAGTCCTGCCAGTTCAACAGAGACTCGGTGGGAGCAGCTTCCTACAATATACACAAATGGGGGACATACCAACGATGCTATAATCGTATACTTTAAGAGTGAAGAGTACTAGTGATGTTATGAGTGTGGACTCACCAGGATACAGCGGACCGTACGTGTGGCATTGGGATGTTTGTTATGTGCCGCCCAGTGTAGAGGGATCTTGCCCTCGCTGTCTGGAATCCCGATGTTTGAATCGTGCTTGATCAGCAGCTTAACATGCTCGGGGTGATTGTAGAAGGCGCTCCAGTGCAGCGCTGTCTGCTGTGGAACAAACAACATTCAATTTCAAAGATTACATTTCCAGTTTTACTGTTCACTTGTGTTACAGAGCTGCTTCATGGCCTTCAAGCAAATTGGGGCTTAATGTGATCACAGCTACCGAGCTGTCAATGAACTGCAATCAAGAAAATAACATTATGGGGCTTTTCCAAAAACACAAATAAAAAACACAAATAAAGGAGTGCTGGCATTCGTTCTTTATCATATCACATCAAACTAGTTGGCCAGTTCCCTCTGGGCTTTGAGGGTCACGACGTTCTTTAACCACAATACCACCAGGCCCAGACCGAATACGTGGATTTTTCTTTTTCACATATTTATGTTGATTTTAGGGGAAAACTGGAAGGTCAAATGTGTCAAGCAAAGCTGATAGTACTACACTCTTATCTGAAAACATATGTATTTATTTAAGTATAAAATCATTTTTAAATTTTTTAGTTTTGAATTTTACTCAACTTAAAGGGGACCTATTATGCAAAATTCACTTTTATAAGGTGTTTGAACACAGTGTAAACAAACAGCCTATAATGGTAAAAATCAACACACTCCTTTTTTTTATAATCCTCATAAATCATAAACAGTCTCTCCAAAGGAGCGGTTCCAGATTTACCCCTACTGAAGCCCCGCCCATGACTGGTGGCAAAAGTGGCGTTGCGTTTAGACGAGCGTTATGGGTGGGAAATCTGCGTGCATATGGTGACGCAAAAGTGTGTGAAATTCGATGTAGTATGCACTCCAGGCGGCTAGGTGGCAATGTGAAGCACTGCCACACAACAACACCAAGTCCGCGCGCCTGCGTACAACCTTAACTGTCTAGCAGACTTTTGCGTTTTTACCCTTTAGATGGGAACGCGACGGTGGAGCGTTTTTAAGATTTCCACTCTGGAGGGTGGTTTCACTTTTTTGCGTTTTTAAGCCCCCAAAACGCCGTCGCCGTGTAAACGAAAGGCACATCTAATTAAATATTTTTACGTTTTCACCCGCGAGAGTTCTCTTGTAAACAGGGCCTGAGAACAACGTGGTTGAAATTCATTTATGAAGGAAATGTGCCGGAGAAAGTTTTTAAAGTGATATGTATTTGAGCAAATCATTTTACACCGGACTGCTTCACAAACGAGGGTCAGTTCAATGCTTGATTTGCACAAAAGTTGTTTCTGAAAGATTTTTAGATTAACATGACTGTACATGTTAGTCGATGAGTTGAATAAAGTTAACTCCACAACAACTACATAAATGTATTCACTAACCATTCATAAACGTCCAGTTGCATTCTAAAAGTTACCTCTTCCTGAGTCTCTTCATCAGTGTCCAACTCCAGTTCGAAAATATAAGGCGGAACAACACTGCTACTGACCATTTCTGACATTTTGGCTGCATGACATTCTCCAGTTCCCTTTCGAGGCGGTAACTTCGACATTTTGTCGTGACTCCTCCCCTTCTCCACTTTTGCTGAAATCTTATGGGCTAACGCCAGCTGGAGAAGCTGGCCAATTGACGCGAAGCATGCAAATACTGCCATACCGCGTGGCATTATAAATTGCATGGGCGCGACAATTACGTCAGAATCTCTTTCTTCATGCTTAAATCGTTGTGCTACAACTCAACCTACGGAATTCTTAGTCATTGTAGAAGGTGCAATTAGAAGATTCTTACCTTTCTTCACAGCATCCGATGGCTTCTACTTGCCGGATCTGTTCGGGCACCCATCAGTTTTGTCGCCTGCTTGGGCCTCGCCCACGCCGAGGCGGCTTTGATGGATGGCACGTGCGCCCACTGCGCTGAGCTGCCAGTGCGCGCCCTCAGAGCCAGAAGGGAAATGGCTCGAGCAACACCGGGGTTTGGGCCCACTGCCACCAGCGAGCCGCTGGTGGGCCCTTCCACGCCCAAGGACAAGGAGTTCGACGCCGTCAGCTTCACGGACGTGAGCTTCCGCCCCCCCCCCCCTTCTCGAAGTGTGTAGACACGGCGCTTCCTCCCCTCAGATCGAGCGGAATGCGCATCCTGAATTAACTGGACGACTGGCTGATTTTAGCCCACTCGAGAGATGTGCTAATCGGTAACGTGGAGACGCTGCTTCGCCATCTGGATACGCTGGGACTGCGTGTGAACATGGAGAAAAGCGTGTTTATACCGAGTCATTCTATAACGTATCTGGGAGTACGTTTGAACTCGATGAAGATGCGAGCCCACCTCTCTCAAGAGCACATAGATACAATATCTTCGACTCTGCGCCGTTTCAGACCGGGCAGGTCCGTGTCGCTGAGGGAATTCCACAGGTCGGCGGAAGTCGACCTGTTCGCTACGAGCGAGAACACGCACTGTCAGGCGTTCTTCTCGCTATCCCACTCCCCTCTGACGGGGGATGCTCTGACATCGCGCTGGCCGGGAACCAGGCTTTACGTGTTCCCTCCGGTGAAGATTCTGCCTATGGTGTTGTGCAAAATTAGAGGAGAAAGCGTTTGTGATTCTTGTGGCCCCGAACTGGCCGAATCAGCCCTGGTTCGCGGACCTGAGAGAGTTATTGGTGGCTCCCCCATGGGAAATCCCCCTCAGGAAGGAGCTGCTGTCTCAAGCAAACGGCACGATATGGCACCCCAGCCCCGAGCTGTGGAACCTTCATGTGTGGCCGCTGCGGGGACTTTGAATGAGCAGGACACCCTGCACTCACGGGTGCTGAGCACACTCACGGAAGCGCGCGCCTTCTACCAGGCGCCTCTATGCTCTGAAATGGGGAGTGTTCATGAAATGGTGCCAAGACATCGGTGTTGACCCGGGTAGCTGTCCCGTGTCGGATGTTCTGCGGTTTCTCCAGCACAGATTGGATAACGACCGGGAGTTTGCCATCCATGCTAAAGGTGTATGTGGCCGCTATTGCTGCTTTTCATTCCCCAGTTGACGGGCAATCGATCGGTAAGCACGCTCTGGTGATCAAGTTTCTCAGGGGAGCGAGGAGATTGTGTCCTTCACGGCCGCCATCCGTGCCGCCGTGGGATTTAGCTCTAGTTTTGAGGGCTTTATCTTTACCGCCGTTCGAGCTGCTTGCCTCGATCGCGATTAAGGAGCTTTCCCTGAAGACGGCTTTGCTTCTCGCTCTCGCGTCGGTGAAGCGCATTGGTGACCTGCAAGCGTTCTCAGTGAACGACGATTGCGTCTATTTCGGCCCTGGAGACTGCAGCGTCCCTTTCCGGCCGAGACCAGGCTACGTTCCGAAGTCTCTCAATACACCATTCAGAGCGCAGGTTGTCTCCCTGCCCGCCTTATCTGCTGAGCCTTCAGCCTCGCGTGACGCTAACGTTCAGAGCGCCGTTTGACCTGTCAGGGCTTTACGGATGTATATGGACCGCTCGGCCGCCTTTCGTCAGTCGGACCAGCTGTTCGTGTGCTTTGGTGGATGTACTAAGGGACGTGGTGTTTCAAAACAGAGGCTTGCTCACTGGATTGTGGACGCTATTACTTTGGCTTATGATTGCCAGGGGAAGGATTGTCCCCTTAACATCAGGGCTCATTCAACGAGGGTGATCGCCTCTTCGTGGTCCTGGTCTAGAGGTATGTCTATACAGGATTTATGTCTCGCTGCTGGCTGGTCTTCTCAGAACACTTTCGCCAGGTTTTACAAGCTGGACGTACCCTCTGTAGCGTCACAAATACTTTCGGTGAGTTGAGCGTTTATTCATGTGTATGTATGCAGTAGTTACCATTTTTGCTAACTCTGTATTATGTCTATTATGTGGCTGTCACCGCTAATGCCGTCAACACTGCGTTTACTCTAGTACTCAATACTTATTGTGTTGTCTGCCCTGTTCAGATTCAGTGCAGCCTTCACTATTTCATTGCCTTGGGATATGCAAATTTTGATAAGGTGTAGGCAGGCACGCCATTGGTCTAGTTTCTATCAGATACGTGTATTCCTAGCAGCGCGGCTATTGGCTGTATGAACTGTCTGTCAATACGGGTGGTGGAGCTTGACCCTGTCATTGGGCTTATCTCACTGCTCTCACGGCGGGATTTTATACAGTTCCCATATACGTCACGACGTAATGTCGAAGTAACCGCCTCGAAAGGGAACTCTCGTAACTATCGTAACCTCGGTTCCCTGAGAGGCGGGAACGAGAAATTACGTTAGCCGCCGTGTTCGCGTTCAGTCATGATTCTGACGTAATTGTCGCGCCCATGCAATTTATACTGCCCACGGTATGGCAGTATTTGCATGCTTCAGGTCAATTGGCCAGTTTCTCCAGCTGGCGTTAGCCCATAAGATTTCAGCAAAAGTGGAGAAGGGGAGGAGTTCCCATATACGTCACGACGTAATGTCTCGTTCCCGCCTCTCAGGGAACCGAGGTTACGATAGTAACCGGAGAGTTTTGTTGCCAGAGGAAGCACGAGCTGTAAAGGCTCCGCCCTCTTCTGGAAAGGGGGTGTGGAGCAGCAGCTCATTTGCATTTAAAGGGACACACACAAAAATACGTTTTTACTCACACCCAAATAGGGGCAAATTTGACAAGCTATAATAAATTATCTGTGAGGTATTTTGAGCTGAAAATTCACAGACACATTCTGGGGACACCAGAGACTTATATTACATACTGTGAAAAGGGGCATAATAGGTCCCATTTAAAGTGGTACTTATAAGTTTAAATTTTACATTTTAATTTAAAGTTATAAAGCATAAAGTTTAAATTCAATTACATGTAAATGTTACATTTTATTGAACCTAAAGTTACAATGTATGGTTTTGAATTGTATTAATCTGGGGGAAAAGCAGATTTCAAGTAGCAACTGTGACATTCTTAAAAAGTGCACTTTCTGAACTTGTACGTCATTCTAAATATTCTGTTCTACATACCTCTTTCCTTCTGTGTTCTATTATTGAATATTTGGGTTAAAACAACTTTAAAATGTACAATTTTAATTTCAACTTTAAGTAGAGTCAAATTTAAATTTGCATTAATTTAAACTAACATTAAAAAAAATTACATTTAAAAGTACACATTACAAATTTAAAATTATACTTTCTAATAATTCCAATTTTATATTTTGCAAATGTGAATTGTCAAGTGCTTGACAAAACTTTGTTCAAGGTTTGAGTTACAGCAGCATCTCAGCTGCACACATTAAATCACTGTTTGTCTATATATATGTGATGAGGTTCGGCTGGATTGCCCTCGAGTGTCACGAGAGGGCGCTCCACCTCTGCACTGCCTTCCCTTGGACTGTTCACGCACACACCCTGGACTGATTACTCACACCTGTTTCCACTGATCACTCTCACACCTGCATCTAGTTCCACACGCAGCTCCACACTCATTTATACCCCACTCTCACTTTCACTCATGGCTAAGTCTTGTTTCACTGTTGTGTACATCTCCGAGCGTTTCCTAGTTTTCCTAGTCTAGTCTGTTCCTGTCTGTGTATTTGACCCATTGCCTGTTTCCCGGATTCCGTCTCGTTTGCCGCCTGCCTCTGTCATCTCGCCTGGTTTCTGATCCTGAGTATTGCCTTGTCTCCTATGCTGTGTTTGCTGTCTGTGACCCTTGCCTGTCTGACTACCCTGTGAATAAACTCACGCTGCGTTTGGATCTAACCTTGTCTGGTTGTTCATGACTATATATATATATATATATATATATATATATATATACACACTCACCTAAAGGATTATTAGGAACACCTGTTCAATTTTTCATTAATGCAATTATCTAATCAACCAATCACATGGCAGTTGCTTCAATGCATTTAGGGGTGTGGTCCTGGTCAAGACAATCTCCTGAACTCCAAACTGAATGTCAGAATGGGAAAGGTGATTTAAGCAATTTTGAGCGTGGCATGGTTGTTGGTGCCAGACGTGCCGGTCTGAGTATTTCACAATCTGCTCAGTTACTGAGATTTTCACGCACAACCATTTCTAGGGTTTACAAAGAATAGTGTGAAAAGGGAAAAACATCCAGTATGCGGCAGTCCTGTGGGCGAAAATCCCTTGTTGATGCTAGAGGTCAGAGGAGAATGGGCCGACTGATTCAAGCTGATAGAAGAGCAACTTTGACTGAAATAACCACTCGTTACAACCGAGGTATGCAGCAAAGCATTTGTGAAGCCACAACACGCACAACCTTGAGGTGGATGGGCTACAACAGCAGAAGACCCCACCGGGTACCACTCATCTCCACTACAAATAGGAAAAAGAGGCTACAATTTGCAAGAGCTCACCAAAATTGGACAGTTGAAGAAAATTTTGCCTGGTCTGATGAGTCTCGATTTCTGTTGAGACATTCAGATGGTAGAGTCAGAATTTGGCGTAAACAGAATGAGAACATGGATCCATCATGCCTTGTTGTTACCACTGTGCAGGCTGGTGGTGGTGGTGTAATGGTGTGGGGGATGTTTTCTTGGCACACTTTAGGCCCCTTAGTGCCAATTGGGCATCGTTTAAATGCCACGGCCTACCTGAGTATTGTTTCTGACTATGTCCATCCCTTTATGGCCACCATGTACCCATCCTCTGATGGCTACTTCCAGCAGGATAATGCACCATGTCACAAAGCTCGAATCATTTCAAATTGGTTTCTTGAACATGACAATGAGTTCACTGTACTAAAATGGCCCCCACAGTCACCAGATCTCAGTCCAATAGAGCATCTTTGGGATGTGGTGGAACGGGAGCTTCCTGCCCTGGATGTGCATCCCACAAATCTCCATCAACTGCAAGATGCTATCCTATCAATATGGGCCAACATTTCTAAAGAATGCTTACAGCACCTTGTTGAATCAATGCCACGTAGAATTAAGGCAGTTCTGAAGGCGAAAGGGGGTCAAACACAGTATTAGTATGGTGTTCCTAATAATCCTTTAGGTGAGTGTGTATATATATATATATATATATATATATATCAGTTGTAGCTTTACAAATACCATTTTTTTGTGTGTGTCAGGCCAGTTTGGCCCTCTCAGCTTGAGACTCTGGCCCCTGGTAGTCAGAGGTCAAAATTCATTATTGTCAGTATTACTAATATTTTTGGTAAATTCTGATAAATAGTTTGAGCTTTTCCTCATTTGTAAGTACTTGACTTTGGATGAATTGTCTGCTAAATGGTTACATTTTAAATAGATGCTGGTCTCCAGCTTCTTCACAAGCTTAAACAGCAGGACATCCTTGGTCAAGTTTGATTTAAAACTTTTTGAAAAAGGTTACCTCAAAAGCACACATGCCCTTCTCTCTTCATCCATCACATAAAGTTTCCTCAGCAACTTACAAACAGCCAATGTGGAAAGTGAAGACTGAAGACGCACTAGATGAGCTATTTTTTGCATCTGGCCACAGAACAAGCCTCATCACGAGAAATCATGATTCTGCTTATCAAATTATTACAAAACCAACAGACGGATAAAGGCCTGCAAACAAAACTCCCTTATGTGACTCAATGGGAGCACTGATACAACCACAGTGTCCACACGCGCACACACTCATGCTAGCGTAATCACAACCATACACACACACAAACACAGAGAGAATAATGATTTAAAACAGGAGCCTTAATAACCCTGGTAGCTTTGAGCAGTTTGTCTGTGGAATGAGATTTTAAATGACGGCGTATCTAAAGAGTCGCTGTATGTGCGTAGATCATCGGAAAGTAAACTGGGGTGAATGTTTACAGTAATTGGAGCCAAAGTGAATAAAGCTGCATGTGGTCTGGTAATCTGGAGCAGTTGATAGCAGTGTTTCCCAGGAAAGCACGGGGCGCATATAAGCATCTCTCCAACCTCTCCTTTTGCTCTATGGTGACCAGCATATATCTTCTTAATCTAGTCTGTGTTTGCTAATCCTAGTACTATAGCTATTATTATTACCAGTATTATAGCTCATAGAGTACAAATATTTCAGTAAAGTACAACAGCAGTGCCAACCAGTAAAGAAACTCTTTCCAGTTTCATTGAACCCGTACGGCACATATCTATGAATGTCTGTTTCTGCGTGTTTCACTTTATATCTCATAATTGTGACTTTATATCTCAATTGCAACTTTATTTCTTATTTTTTTCGATTTTTTTTCATTGACTGTAAAAACATTTATAATGTTAGAAAATATTTCTAAATCAATGCTGTTTTTTTAAACTTTCTATACATCAAATAATCCTGAAAAAATGTATCAAGGTTTCCCAAAAACTATTAAACAGCACAACTGTTTTCAACACTGAAAATAAGAAGAAATGTTGACCAAATATATAATTTAGAATAATTCTTGAAGGATCATGTGACACTGAAGACTGAAGTAAAGGCTGTTAAAAAAATTCAGCTTTGCCATCACAGGACTAAATTACTCTTTAAAATATATTACCTTAGAAAACAGTTATTTCAAATTGTATTAATATTTCACAATATTACTGTTTTTACTGTTTGTTTTTTTGCAACCTTAATGAGCGTAAGAGACTTTCAAAAACATAAACAAATCTTACCAACCCCAAACTTTATTTCTCATAATTGCAACTATTTCTTGTAAATGTGACTTTGTTTCTTGTAATTGCAATTTTATTTATTTTATCACACAATGGGAATTTATTTGTTATTTTATATCTCACAATTTGCTATATTTTTTATTCTGAGGTGGAATCCATACATATCGTCTTTGTTGTGAATTTGGGTTGGCCTCTGTGATTCGTGGAAGACGTCTTTGGCATGCAGCGAGTGTGACCGTCAGTCCACACACACACATAAGGTTAACATTGCGATGAGATCCTGAGCCTTGTAGGCGCCTGGCAAGCTCTCGCAGCAGCTCTGAGAAAATATATTTTATTAGACAATTTAAACAGAGCTCATATCCTCCAGAGAAACATCAGAGGGTGCACAGACCCCCTGCTGCTTTACGGCATATATGCAACCACAAACACACACGCATACATACACACACCACCTAACCTCACGTTCACCCCTGATCCCCACCCAAGCCATCTATATATGAGCCGCTGAGTGTGTGAGTGAGCATGTGTAGTGTCTGTATCTGTGTGTATCGTTCGGTACCTTATTCCTGTCCTGTGTGTCCACCTCACCAGGTGCCATGTGCTTGAGGAGCAGAGACAGAGGTTTGGAGCTCGAGTGACGGGTTGCCAGGTGTAATGGAGTCATTTCCTCCAGATCCTTCAAACGCCAATCGGCATGGCGTGACAGTAAGAGTTTCATGAAACGCACGTTGCCCTGAAAAGCATGTGCACATGCAAAAATACAATCAAATCAACAACTTTTAACATTAATTGCAGAAATATTTCGTCTGTTTGTAATGATTGGAGGATCACAACACCCTAATGAAGAATTTTTGTGTTTTGCTATGGTGCTGCTGATGGTGCCCATGCAATGGTATGTTGAACTGTGGTGTTCATGTGGATGTTGCAAGTTTATGTCTGGCTTCTGTCAAGGCCCAAAAATACTATCTTCTAGAATTATGATTTCAGTTCAGTTAGATGTACTCCTCTTTTGGATGTTTCCTGTGCAAAATGTGAAACCATATGCTTCAAAGTTGAAGTTTATAATTTGTTCTATGACCTTTCTGTTATCTGGGATATCCTAACAAAGACAGCAATATGTAAGCCAAGTCCTAAAAAAACATTTCACAAAATATTTAAACAGCACAACGATAATCATGATTATCGTTGATTAGAATGATTTCTGAAGGATCACGTGACACTGATGACTGTACTTAATATCCAAAGGTATTTGTAAGTTGATTTCCCCCGGAAGTGTAACAAAAAAAAAAGGAAAAAACTGCGGGGTGCCTAAAACAACCCAACCAGCCTGACACAGCAACATCTTTTTGTCCTTCCAATGGCAGACGGGGAGTATTTGTGAGGGGAAAAAAACCCTGATTGAAAATATTCATTATTTCTGCAATTTCATTTAGTGTCTCTAGAAATCACATATTTCACCTTCAAAAATGCACCCCAACTACTTTCTAAATGCATGTTATTGTTCTTTTTGTGAACATCAAGGCATTCGTTTCATTTTTTAACAAATTTGTAGACCTAATTTTTCATCAAAATATCGCAACTCTATCTTCTGGTGAAACGACTGACTTCTCTGTCCGGACGTATGCCCGACTTCTCCCATCATTTAGTCCGCTTCAACCCTGCCTCATTTATTACAATCCACTGCAAGTTTGCATTCAGATCTGCTCCCTTTCAATTTACAACTGAAAACTGAATACAATCAAGTCCCCGATCTACATTTTTTTCTTTTAAGTCTTTTAAGTTTTTCTTTTTTACTTTAAGTCATTTGACTGAATTATTATATAAGCAGATATTTTATCAGCATTTTAAAATGATAAATCATCCAAAGCCTGCAAAATATCTAAATGGAGTAAAAAAAAAACCCAGTGCTTTATTATTGGGCTGCGTTTGGGATATAGAGAAGGCTGCTTATCCATCTAAAGGGTCTGAATGTGTCTGAGTGCGAATGGCCCTCCCCTCTCATCAAGTATCCTCCCAGGCCTCCTTAGCTCCTGTGTAAAACATTCCAGGGAGAGCCCTCGTGTGTGTGTGTCAGGGTTCTCAGTCTCTATTCCCAGCCCAATTAGACTGTTAATCCCTGAGCTACAGCTCTTATTGATCTAGATGTCAGAGTGTTACCCATCAATCCAGTCCCTCCCTGTATTCCTCTCCTCACACTCTTCTCCTTTCCTCTCCACTCTGCTCTGCTCTCATATCCAATCCTCTTGTCTCATTCAAACCATCCTGTTTACTAAGTCAAAATACCATAACACATACAGGCGCTCTCATATTTAAATCTCAGGGAGAAATGTGTCAACATCACAAACACTAGAGGGCAGTAAACCCTAGCAACACCAACCTTTTGTAAGTCTCTATCAGAAACAGGGTCAGCTCAGAGACAGACGGCTGTGTGTGTGTGTGTGTGTGTGTGTGTGTGTGTGTGTGTGTGTGTGTGTCACCTTCTGTGCTGCGAGGTGCAGTGCAGTCCTCTGACTGTGGTCAGTCTTGTTGACGGCTGCGCCGGCCTTAAGCAGCACCTCTGCACAGTCCAAGCGGTCAGCCAGAACACAATACATCAGAGGGGTCCGGCCGAATTGATCCTCGCTGTCCCGCAGACTAGACTCTGCTGTGAACACAAAGCACACACACACACACACACACACACACATAAATGAGTCAACCCTAGCCTGTTATTGGAATCCACACTTAATATAAAATGAAATAGGTAGTGAGATATTAAATAGTGAGTGATGTATTGAATATTCACAGTAGATTTAAGACGATTTTGCTGGCGATATAAAACTAAGCAATATTCGCAATGATTTTAATGGTATTTTTGTGTGGTTATTAAGTTTACTACTGACCGTCAACACTTACGCTACCTGGTTAACGTACTGCAACTTTTAGGTATTTGAAGTGTGAACCAGTGGACACTTTGCTATCCCATAAGGCCATGGAAATTAAATTTGAAAATATGAGATCTTTTTTTTTTTACAGAAACTTCTTCCATAAATTGCTAAATGGTATTTGTTGATATCGGAGTAAATTATCTACATGGTTGTAGTTACATCCTAGGTTAAAAAACATACAATGCAACATGGCAGATGTAATGTCACACAATATATTCATACTAAAGAAGAATGAACTTTAATGGTCAAGAAATCAATTCCTCATTGAATTCAGTACATTCTTAGAAAGTATGGTGTATATAAATTAAAATTATTAAACATTATTCTTAATTTAACTTGAGATTAAGTTAAGTTTTTTTTACTTAACTAGGTTTTTACTGTATTTTAATTCTCATATTGAACATTTTGAATGTACTTTGTAACAATGACTGGTTGAAATCAAGATTTCACTGTTTAAAAAAATCTAATTTTAAGCTATTTCAAAGTAATATGTAAATATATATATATATATATATATATATATATATATATATATATATATATATATATATATATATATATATATATATAATTTTAAGCTATTTCAAAGTAATATATATATATATATATATATATATATATATATATATATATATATATATATATATATATATATATACATATTACTTTGAAATAGATTTTTTTAGATTTTTAGATTTTTTAAATAGCTTAAATTTAGATTTCATATATATATATATAATTTTAAGCTATTTCAAAGTAATATATATATATATATATATACACAGTATATATATATATTTACATATTACTTTGAAATAGATTTATTTTTTATTTTTAGATAGCTTAAATTTAGATTTCATATATATATATATATATATATATATATATATATATATATAATTTTAAGATATTTCAAAGTAATATATATACGTATATATATATATATATATATATATATATATATATATATATATATATATATATGCTGAATATTGTCAAAAGGATAAAAAAAAGTGTGTGTGTGAAAAGTTCAGATGCAAAACCCTCTAAATCCGTCAGACTTATTTTCTTTAAATGAGCATTTTTTTATCAGGCTCCTATGTTCACATCCAGTAGTTTCATTTTAAAGGTACTGATAAGGTTATTAGTCAGTGAATAAAATAACATTTTTTCAAAAATGTCACTTTAGTCAATTCAGTGATTTTTAACAAATTAGATTTTCTTTTGCGTCAAAAACAGTTAAATCCACTTGTGCTTTTTTCGCAAAAACCTCTAAATCCACCTCTTTGGGACAAGACATAGTAAATAGCTGAAAAATCACTAAAAATGTAACTAGAAACACTGAAAAAGATTAGAGCACATTCATTTCAAAACTAAACAGTAGACAAACCTCTTTACAGGGGGGCTGAATGAGATCTGCGATTATTTGCAAATCCCACCCCATTTGTCTGCAGTCACCTTTCTGCCCTGTCTGAATAAAGACAAATTTTATCCATCTTTGTAATGTAGGCTACAAAATCTGCTTCAAAATCCCAGCGCTGTCGTCATCGTGTAAAGCCCGCCCCAACGTTTCTGATTGGTGCCTCGATTTCGGCGGATTGGAAATGGGCTTGAATGAGCTCTTTGCCAGACTAACTTTCAGAGCAAATCTAAATTTGCCGGAAGTTGTCTGGGTTTTCCCAGGCTAATAATCAAGTAGAACAGAGCAACATTCTTAAACATCAATATCTGTGCATTTTGTATAAGAAGCTTATAAGACTTAAGTAGTGTAAAGTAATATTATAATGTATATCTCAAGTATAATAAATCAGACTCCTTCAGAGTTACAGCACTGCACCAAGAACTGTTATGAGTGCATGCTACACTTGCGACCAAGCCATTTCCACAGTACAGATTTTCTTTTGCCTTGTAACGGGAAGAGTTTTGAGGTAAACGACGTTTTCTTCTGCCATTTGATGTCAGTAGGACAGGCTCATCCATTTCATCGTACTCCATCTTAAAAATGTAAAAAATCTGAATCCAAAACCAAAACAATCTCCTCAGCCGTCTCAAAAAATCCGTCTCCTCAGCGCGCCGCTCTATTGAGACAGCCTGTACTGATTCGCGCCTTCTGATTGGTTCTCGGGATGTAGCGGCTTTTGCTGCCAAAAGGAAGTGGCGTCTAGAGGCTTTTGCCGACAAACTGATATTTCTGAATGGGCTGGGCTGAGATTTAGAGGATTTGAAGCAAATATATTTGTTGAACATGTACTATGTTCAGATAGCTTTCACTCAATGTCATTATCTCATTTTTGACGGAGGTGGCGTTTAGAGGCTTTTGCATCTGAACTCTTCGTATATATATTGTATAGCATTCAAAAGTTTGGGGGCAGTACGTTTTTTATTCAGCAAGGATGCATTAAATTGATCAAACTGTTTTCAACATTGATACTAATGAGAAATGTTTCTTGAGCAGCAAATCAGAATAGTAGGATGATTTCTGAATGAAAATTCAGCTTTGCCATTACATGAATAAATTACATTTTAAAATATATTAAATAAAACTTAAATTGTAATGATAATTACACTGTAATTACACTAATAATTCACTATATGTTTTCAAATAAAGCAGCATTGTTGAGCAAAAGAGACTTATTTCAAAACCAATTAAAAACTTTTTTAGATATATCGCACAGGCTTACACAGAAAACATAGTGAATAGCATGGAGCATTATAAGCATGAAAATATGTGTGATACCTGTGATCAGCCTCTGTAAGGTGTTCTTGTCTCCATTCACAGCGGCCGCATGCACCTGAGATGGATTCTGGGGGAGCAGCATCGCCTGGTGCACAAACACACATCAGCGGTCATGCAATATGTTTACTCAGGGGCCAAACATCAAGATTATCCGCTTGTTAAGTCTGACGTCACGTGTCACTGTTTCTGGGTTCAAGCGCTCTATTAGATACCAAAAGCAAACAACAAACAGTGCTAATATACACTCATGGTGTGCTGTAATAATACTGAAAAATCATGATCCTAAATTTTATATCCATAGCATACACTGTAAGGTTTTACAAGCTTTAGCTTAAAAGTGTGATATGAATAAATCGTGCTTATCAATTGCTGTTGAGATAGTATTCTCAATTGAAACGAATGGAGGCTTGGACCCAGAAACAGTATTCCCCACTTAACATCACAACTTAACAAGCGGATAGGCCTAGAATCTAAACTCACGCTTTCTGAATCCACCTTTGAACCACTCTTAGTGGTTCAGCCAGAATTCTGGGTAATCCTCAGACAGGAAGTAAGGGGGCAAATCCCCCACTGGGACACACCCTGCCCCACTCATCTCTTATTCATACTCATCAATATTGCAAGAGACTAAAAAAAATCAATTACGTACACAAATCCACACTAAATGTGTGCCAAGCATGTTTATGACTGCAGAAATAACTTTTTCAATGAGCACTTTAACCCAGTCATACATTCCCCTTTTCTTTGCCATTCTTTCTCGTCTCGCACAGACACAACTAATTAGCCGCTCTGTTCTCACGCACCTCATGAGAGGGTAATTGGGGTTAGTTAATGCAGACTCATAAAACTACTAAGGGTTACAACTAGTTCAGTAGCATGTGTTTTTGTGTGTGTATGTTCTGATTAAAGCCTTTAAATGCTCTCCGATACACTATAATTCAGCTTTATATGACTCTACGTACTTAAACGAAGGAAATCAGACATCACAAAAAAAAAGCATGCACACACACAGTCTGCTTTTGGGATCACGATGTGGAAAAAAGACAGCAGGGGGATGCCTTTGACAAAGGTGTACGCGTGAGCTCTATCTGTACGTGTACTGGCGAGCGTGTTTGCGTCTGACCACACGTTAGTGTGTGTGTGTGTGTGTGTGTGTGTGTGTGTGTGTGTGTGTGTGTGTGTGTGTGTGTGTGTGTGTGTGTGTGTGTGTGTGTGTGTGTGTGTGTGTGTGTGTGTGTGTGTGTGTGTGCGTGCGTGATCGCGTGGGAAGTGATTTTCCGTGAGAAAAGGTTTTTATGGAGGCTTCACTCATATCGACCACAAGCTTTCCTCGATTTCCTCCAGACTAGGACCCACACATACATGCAAACACACACTTGGGACTTAATAACAACAATGCCTGGCATACAAATCAAACGACTCTCGAATGAGAAATAAAAGGGATTCAGACTTCTTTGAAAAGAAGCTGGTAATTTTCAACATGTTCATATTTTTTAAATCAATTTTAAAAAAGGGAGAAGGAAAATCTAATATAAATTGTACTGTCATTATATTGATGATGCATTTGAATGGCGTATACTCATTTTTGACTAATTTAATTAACAACCTTTGCTGTTGTAGATTATCACAGCTTCAAATTTAAGTGTGAATCATTGCAACTAGTAATTCACTTAATAATAACATTTAAAGCAATAACCATTCAAAAAATATACAGCATCTGTCATATTAACTGTTTTTATGCCTTACAGAAATTCTGAAGTGAAAAGAAGCAGTATACTTATTAAATTAAAAAAAGTTTTAGATATATGTGTAAGAATTCTACACAAGGAGGAGAGCACTTAAATGTCCCCACAAAGATTGCATTATAATTTTTTGCCAGCCTCTAAAACAGCTTCTAAATCATAAGAACTTTTTTTGAAAAGGTAAAAAATACAGAAAGTTTTCTGTGATGGGTTGGTTCAGGGGTAGGGTTAGAGGGTAGAATATACAGTTTGAACAGTATAAAAATCATTACATCTATGAAATGTCCCCATAAAACATGAAAACCCAACATGTGTGTGTGTGTGTGTGTGTGTGTGTGCGTGCGTGCGTGCGTGCGTGCGTGTGTGTGTGTGGGCAAGCATCCAGCTTGTCTAGCCCAGCCAAATGACTCCCCACCAGCATCTTATTGAACAACCAGCTGAGTCAGGATTTAGGGAGAAAGAGAGACAGAGAGAGAGAGAAAAAAAGAAATAATAATGAAGAACAAACCACAGGGTCAGAAGTTGAGCTGTGTGCACATTTGTCAGTAAAGCAGTGCCTGGCATTGCAATAGCAGATCTGTATGATTCACATCAACATCTCCATTTCCAAAAACAGAGCTTTTATTCAAATCTCTTCTAAGTATCTCGCTGAGAGACACCGGTTCTTTCATCTAATGCCCAGAGGGCAAATCCTCCATACTTTCTCCAAGGAGAAAGGACTCCATGCTGTGGATGCATGCAAGCATCCCTGCGGATGCCATCCATAGTGTGTCTTGACTGACATGATCACCTTGTGCCTCATTAGCTGTCGTCTCCCACAATGCAGAGCGACAAATGAGCCCCTCTGGTGAACGAGGTGTGCCTTCCAATGGGCAAAGTAATGCAATTATATAGTTCCAAATGTGTCAGTCACAACAAGTGAAAAACACGTGTGCTATTAAACAGTTAAACAATACACACTGTCGAATGTGTGAAATCTAAGACATATAACAAACACACTGCACATAGGACAGTGGTAGAGAATTCTGTGCACATATATATAAATAAACACACACATAATAACCAACGCGTAGCACTTTTTATTCAATATTGCTATCAAAACATAAAACAGAATTCCCAGAATTGGCTTTCATTGTCCAATAACAGATTTCCATCTTGCTTATGAGTATAAATCAAGAAATTATTCAAAATTGAATAATTTTTAAGTCACCAATTTTCAGTAGCCAACAAATGTGCTTTAATTTCAGAGCTGAAAGCTCTCTAAAAAACTCATTTCATTTCAAAAAGACATTTCAAGCTCATTTCAATACAAACTCAACCGGAAATAGTGATGCCATGTCATGCAGGTTACCTGGACAAAGACGGCCTAAATGAGTCCAAGTATGCATTTTAACCAGTTTGACCCATTCAGGCCACGCGTCTATTTGCAGGCCAGTTGTGAACATGATAGGCAGCCATTATCTCGTTGACAGCTTTATCAGCCAATCACATTGATGTCCCTAACACTCACACCATGCGTTAGGACCATCAGCTCAGAGACCACAATGAGCAAATGGGAGGCAAAAGATATGCTGCCTACTTGATATCATATTTTGTACTGAACTTTTAGTACAGTGCCACCTCAAAGGAAACACCCTTTTTCTGTATGTTTTCACGAATGTATGGCATCATTCACTGATAAACTGAGGCTGGTGGTAATACGGCAGTGATTTGAACCGCAGCTGCTCCTGAGACTGAGAGACGGCACGGTCTGAGTCCCCGGAGCACACTTGGGCTGGGTTGCTCTGATAGGTCTCTTGGGCTGGACTCATAGCGAGGGGGGAAGTATCATGGCAGACCCTTTCTGACATCTCTAATGAGGCAGCCTAGAGAGAGATATCTCTCTTCCACCCTCCCATTCTCTCTTTTGCTCCCCCTTCTCTGTATCTCCGTTCCTCACTTTTTCTCTACTCACATAAACACGCACCCAAAGACACACACAGCCCCCCAGGCTATCCCCTGTCCTCCCTACAGCGACTAATTGGGCCAAATCTGTGATCTAATTAAACGTCCAATTAGTAGGAGAGGGGCCATTTAGCCGCTGGCTACACCGCTGTGCGCGGGAAATAATGTGATTGAAAAACAAACAGAAAATCAATGAGAAAGAGCGAGAGAGAGGGAAAAGAGAAGAAGAGAGAGAGACACAGTGGAAATGAAAAAGATGAAACAAGATTTGAATCAGTTGGGTGTTTATAAGGTTAGAAAGCAATGAACGACACACACTGTGTTCCATCACAGATCATGTAGATGTGTGTATCTGCCCGCTCTCTCCCTCAGCAATAACCCCTTGAACACATGCTAATTACATTATTCTCAAAACACACGTTAACTGCATTATTCTATTGGTGCAGTCAGTAAGTACATTATTCTATTAACACGCTCAAAGAACCATAAAAATCAGCACATCATCAATTATTAACAGCTCACTTAACCCTGGAGAGAGCCAAGCTTCCCTCAGAAACATTCACTTACCCTTCGCTTCATTAAATATTAATATAAGGGGTCACATTCAACATTGAGGCCATTGAATGGATTGTTTTCATTCATACTGTACACGCTGAGGCTAAAGGGACACAAGGGTCAAACTAAAGTGGGAATTCCACATTTCAATTGTATTGTTTCTCATGGCACAATGAAACATACCAAATTGTGAGGATGTCATTTTTACTTGTATGTATATATATATATATATATATATGTATATATACACAAACAAAAATGATGTATATATATATATATATATATTATATACATTTCAATTTCTAGTTCTAAATTAAGCACATATTGTATGTAAAATGATATCACATTAAAAAAAATCTGATTTAGAATTCGAATACCCAAATTACAAAGTATAGCTTATAAGTGAAATTTGCCAAAAGCTGAAATCTTCTGGTTCTGGTAGGCCATACCTCACGACAAGTGTATAATTAACAGCTTTTTAATTGCATTCTTCACACCTGCTATTTTACTCTGTGAAATGCATCTTGTTAATGTGACAAAATATTTAAAGAGAGTCATTTATAACTCTTTGATATGACAGAAGAAGTGTGGTGGAAATCTCTAAAGACATTAATGTGTCAGTAATATGCAAGCTTTTTGCAAGCAGCATAGTCTGTTTTTTAATCAAATTAACAAAACTGCTGTTGTCAATAATTAAACCACAAAAAAGTGTAAGTCTGTAAAAACACTTTTAAAACTCATAATGTATAATACAATACTCATGATCTCTTCTAAATCTCAGCACAGCTTTTGTTTTCTGACTCTTACCATGGTGATGTCCAGGAGGCAGGGGTGGCCTTAGCAGATGTTACCCAGCTAAGTGAAGCCTCGCTGGGCTTGGCGTAGCCGCAGGTCCCCCTAGCAGCTCTGATCTAGTGTTCTGCAGGAGAGAGAGCGGATCACTCACACACAGAGCACAAACCACCTGCTCTGACCTACTGTGCCAAACATTACCAGTGCTCAATGCCAAGGCCGACTTACAGGAGTGTGCTGACATAAAACGGTCGATCGACACTGGAGTCTTGCAAGAAACTATAGTCTACATTGACTTTTGAAATCTTAATTTTTGACTACAACTTACAGCTATTTGTTTTAAACAACCTGTTACTCTGTTAAAGCACACGTCAAGCGATGAACTAGATGTGTTTGAAATATATGCATTAAAATAACTGCAAAACAAAAGATAAAATGTCAACAATACCAAGAGGAAAATTGCATTGCTCATTGTTCTCAGTTGTGTTTCATTCAACTTTGTCTCAGATATCCTTTAAAATTATTTAGAAGAAATAATCAGTGAGTCATTATTAGCTGAAGTAAAGTAACAGTGTTTCGCTTCATCTGAATTATGCAGCTCTAAAGATTATCTCTTGGAGAATTTTATGACATTTGTTTCTACATAATGATATATCAGGCCTTAGTACCTTGGCAAATCTGAGCACAATTTGAGACATTGACATTGTTGAGAACTCTTCTGATACTCTAAATGAGACACATTTCCAAATTCCTTTACTTAAGAGACACAAACAATACAGATAACAGAGATCTCATTTGTATAAAACAGCCAGAATTAAAATCTGTACAATTATAAGAACCCATTTTCCAGGATTTTACAAGCTCATACACTTTTCCTAAACAAATGTACACTGTGCCTGAATAACAGTGTTGACACTTGACAGTTAATTTGTTTAGGTTGTACGTGGTGTGTTTGGATTGGTACTAGACAAATCACAAAGACAAAGTCATATTTATGAATCAGCTGCAGAGCTCACTGACATATTCATGAACTCTTTGTGCCTAAGCTGCAAAAAAATAAACAATTATTTTAACAAATGCAAACATAGTTACATAACTGCTGTAGTACTTCAACGACAGTAAATGACAGTGTCAATGAACTTTTAATCATTTATTAATCCCGCATTTGGATGTGTTTGCATGTAGCTTGATTGCTAAATATTCAAAAATCCCGTTATACAGTTGGGAAACGATGATGCAACTTACCACATTCAAGGTGAAACACAATTAATCTGATATTTCCATCTCTGACTTTAGACATCACAAATGTTTTAAACGCAATGCCGTGTTTTCGCTGTTTTCGTAAACTTGGGTACTTCAGCCCCGCTGTGGTCAATGATACTCCAAAAACTCTTGATACCGCAAACACATCTGGACACGTATGTAAATAAAACTACAATTACCAAGGACCACATTCTCCCCACACATTCCAAACTGGGATTGTAGTTTTTTGATAAACAAATCTTACTTGGCTGAACGACAAGAGTCCCAGTATGAAACTACATTTCCCATAATTCCCGGCAAACCCGGAATTCCAGTTCCCGTAGCCCTGGCCGTATGTACTGCCTGTTTCCTGCAGCAGAGGAGAAGGAGGTGGTGTCGAGAAACTGGCAAGATCCAACAACATCGTAACCTCAACCAACACCACTATACAATGAAATTATCATCAATAATTCCCGCTCCCGAACTGCACTACTTCACCCTCCTGCTGGTATGTGTATGAGTAATCGCGCGCTCGTTCAGTAACACACTTCTGACAGGTTTGCTTGTGATAGCTAGCTCATATAACGTTACGTTAGCTATTAGGAGGGTTTATAAACTTGGATGTGATGCTCTTGTTATTTAACGAGTTATTATAAAAAGGCCTCTAGAATGTGTGCAACGAACGACTTCAACTATGAATCTTGGTCTAATTGCCTATAGTGAATATATGCTTGCTACAGAAAGTGCTAGACAGCTGGCTAATGCGGCTAACCAGCTATTAGAGTTACCACCGGACTTGTAGTCATGATGCAGCTGCTAGTATGGGACATTTTGAGAGTTTATAGCCTGTGGGTCAACTATTTCAATTGAATTCACAACCACACTCGCATATAAACATTGTCATTTATAAACATTGCCAACTTATATTTTCATTTGTAATGTCTGCAAGCAAACTAAGGATCACTGAATCATACAAATCTATATTTGTAGCATTCTCAAATACAGTGTTGAAACGGCCAAATGACTTGGACGAGTTTTAGATGGGAAAAGAAGGCACTAAGTTACGTCACACGCAACGCAAGTTTTGGAACCTTGCAGAGGTTTTAAATGTTAAACGCAACTTGTTCAAATGAACCAGTAACTGAGTTGCTTGCAGGTGTCCTGTTTCCATTCATAGTTGTAAAGTTTCACAGACAGCAATTGATGTGAGCCTGTTTAACTCGGAAAGTCCTTTAAACACATGAATTAAGCACTTAAAGTCGTTTTTACAATAGGAGCCATACAGTTTGCAGCTGTCAACAGTGATCTTTATAGTCCTAAAGTAAAGAGATGGCTATTTTGGGATTCGTTTCATCCGACTTCGCAGTAAAGAAACCGGTTGGTGAACTTCTCTGTTGTGGCCGAATCCTATTGGCTGTCAACCCGGAAGTGAGCCGCGCTGCTCTGTCTGTTTAGCACAGCATGATGTGAAAACCACAGCAGCGGTAGCCTTGCTGCCAATTGAGTTCATTTTACAAGCTTTCAGTTTCGGTATGTATTTTAGCAGTAAATAGAAAGGGACACATATTTTTGTAGATATTTTTCTCATAAGTTGTAAAATTGAAAGATTTTGGTCTGTTTTGCTTTGTGAACTTAATATTTATCACCATAGAGAGGTATAGTTTGCTTTGAGATTGACCTTCAGCACTTCAGTCACTGTTTCATTAATCTTTTCTATAACTTGTGTGGTATAGTTCCTTCCTCATTCTGAAATTGTTTTAAAGTTGCTAAAACTAAAATTGCTAAACTTCATGACAGCAATAAATAAAACCCACTTTACATACAGTGTGAAGCATTACTGATTTGTTTATGATTTCAACCTATTTTAAGTATTTAAGTATACAATGTTAAATAAATAATATAAAACAAAATGTTTGTTCACAAACATAAAAACATCTATACGTAAAAGCATGTTCACACCAAGGACGATAACTACAACTATAAAAGGTTTTTTGCATACCTTTGAATTTTATGAGAATGGTGAAATCCACACCACTACTATAATTACACCAAAAATAAATGTCAATTCGAATGGGATCAGTGCTTAAACAACATACTATATGGAATACATTTTTATGTTATTTGATAAACTTGTTTTATTCTGTTGATACTTTTAAAAAGATTTGTAACAAAATAAATCCAAATTTAGTCTTAGGGTTTTTAGGGGAAAATATTATCTTAAACATCTTATCGACACAGAGGAACACTATCGTTGGACTTTGTTTCAACTGATAAACAATAAAAATAGCCAAGCAGAATCTACCCGATTTTAAAGAGCTTGAAAGTGGCAGCTGACGTACCTGTAGCGCATGCTCATACAAAACATTATAATTTGTTTGTGTGGATTCTAGCCTAGTGAATATTATAGGTATCATTCTTGGTGTGAACGGGTCTTAATTCTCTCATCAACCCTGGTTCAAACCTATTTTTATGTATCTGAGTAGAAACTCCCTCATTAGAAGTGGGAAGCTCTTTGTGATGAATCTCAGTAAGAAACGGACATGCACGGGTCCAAAGTTGATTACCGAAACTACAGCGTATGTTGGGTCTAGCTGTGAATTTTTACTTTGGGATCTGAGCGGTTTAGATCAGCCCATGTGGAGCTGTGTGTTTGTTTTGTTTCTGTGGCTGTTGTGACAGTTGGAGACTTGAGTTCTCTGAGAGATTAGCAAATACATTTAGGCAGTGTTGTTTAGCAGCTGCCTGTTTTTTGTTTGTTTTGAAGAGGATCAGATATGCCTCAGTGTGATTTGATATTTTAGTCTGAATGGTTCTTTTTGCCTCTTAAAACAGCCAGTGTGAGAATTAGGGGTGTAACGATACCCTCATGTCACGATTCGATACATATCGCAATACAGAACTCACAATACAATATTGTTGTGATACTCCAAGACATATGGTAAAGGGTTAACAAAATGTTTTACTGTTGATTAAAATGCTAAATTTGGGCTTGTATTTGGTGCTGGTAACCCAATGCACGGGACAATGGTGACATTAGAATAAAAACAATTCATGATTCCGAAGTTGAAAATACAGAATTATTTTAGACAAATATGCTTGCACTGTCACTGACTAGAAATATTTAAAATAATGTAGGCCACTCTTTACTGGTAATTTAAGACATTTGGCATAATCAGGACTAGTGGTCGACCGATATATCGCCACGGCCGATATATCGGCCGATATTTGGCTTTTTTAAAATATCGGCATGGGCCGATAAGTTTTTCTGATTGGCCGATGTGTTGGAAGCGGGACCTTTATTTTGACGGCACTGCGGACTTTTATTTTGACGAGCGGCGCTGAGAACACCAGCACCTGAGAAGAGAATGGCAGCGCCTGATCACACAGCGCTCACTCACATTCTCTGTCAGTTCTAAAACTTTGTTAGACAGAACCGGTGGCTACAGAACTGGTCAAAGAAAGTAAATGGTATGCGAAAAAGTAATACGTTTGCTTTTATATTATTTGTAACCGAAAAGGCAAACAATCAGACTAAAATACTTGCTCATTTACGTCAACATTCAGCAAATGCGCATCTACATAATTTAAACAAATCTCTGAATATCTAATAAACATTTCACAAACCTTGCAGATTTAATCGAATCCAGCTGTGATATCTTGTGAAGTGTGCATTTGTAGCCGGCATAAACGTGTGACTGCGAATGACGGTCGTGTGAAGTGAGTAAATGCGAACAGAAGATCAGCTTCACAGGAGACTCGATCGAAACACTTTAAATCCTTCATTTTAAAATATGCTGTGCTATATCCAGTGGCCCACTGTGTCATATTCATGTCGTTTTCACTGTGTGCTGCTGTATGTAAAATTAGCGTTACCTTGTCAAAAGTCAAAGTAAAAAAAAAGTCTTTATTTGAAAAAATATGATTATCAGGGATTACTGATTAATTACCAGATTACTGAGTGCCCTGTTACAGTGTTTACTTACTTTTTATTCTCATATTCATATATTTTTAAACAATTACTTTATTTATGAAAAAATCTGTAATAGGATTGCAGATTCAAGAAGTTGCCATCTAAAGTATAGGGCCTAAGCATGTTTATTTTAAAGATTTTTAAATATTTATTAAATTTATCAAATTTATTAAATATTAATTTATATAAATATAAAGTGTGTATGTATATATATATATATATATATATATATATATATATATATATATATATATAATATGAATGTGTGTGTGTGTGTGTGTATGTATATATGTGTATATATATATATATATATATCGGCCACCCTGCTCTCTAAGATATCGGCATCGGCCATCAAAAAACCCATATCGGTCGACCACTAATCAGGACCCACAAATATTCCCCCATTGCATTATTATACATTATATTCAGCATTATACAGTATATAATAGTTTAAAGGGGTCATCGGATGCCCATTTTCCACAAGTTGGTATGATTCTTTAGGGTTTTCATGTAAAGTTTGTAACATACTTTGGTTCAAATTCCTCAATGGTTGTATGTCTCTTTAAATGATAATGAGCAACTGCTCACCCCACCCCTCTCTTCCGTGGGGCGTGTTGACACAAGACATGTAAAGTGCTGTCTTGGCAGATAGTATACAAATGGCTGAGCAAATATGCTAATACGGGACAACCCGTCAGTGGTCGTGGGCAGAGCATGAAAAATCCAAACGGCTTGATTATTGAGAGTGTTTAGGCTTTTTGAGGATTAAAAAAAAGGAGTGATTGTATCATATGGTGGTTGTGTCCACACACTGCAAAGACACATTTATATGCAAACACCATATAAAAGTGAATTTTGCATCCGATGACCCCTTTAATGTACTGACACTACAACTCTGTAAACGTGAATTTTTTCTCACGCAGTAATTTTCATTTTGGGTGAACTATACACAATACATATTGTCACCATCCATGATACATATTGTTGCTTTTCTGTATTGCGATATATTGTTGCAAACTTGCAACCCTAGGGAGAAGGTCTGCATCATGTAATCGCAGTCAGTGTGGCCGTTCGCAATGTTATTTACTTGCCAAGCAACAGTGTTTAATCAAGGAGAGGTGAATCCATCGGAATATCATTATACTTGTCTTCAGTCTATCTTTGACACACTCAAACAGGATGTAGTGATATGTTGCAAAAGCAGACTCATCCAACAACCAACAACTCTACTTTAACGCGTGGCATTACCAAACCTGTTCACAGTGTCTTTTGGATTGATTACGTATGTTAGATGATTAGCCACGTTATTTGGCAAATACAGTACCTGTCAAAAGTTTGGAAACATTAAAAAAAAATGTTTTTTGAAAGTCTCTTATGCTCACCAAGATATTTAATTCAAAAATACAGTAAGAACAGTAATATTGTGAAATATTAGGCTAGAATTTAAAATAATGTTTTTTATTTTAATACATTTAAAAATGTTATTTATTCCAGCGATGGCAAAGCATCATTACTCCAGTCTTTAGTGTCACATGATCCTTCAGAAAGCATTCTAATATGCTGATTTGCTGCTCAAGAAACATTTATTATTATTATTATCAATGTTGAAAACAGTTTTTGCTGCTTAACATTTTTGGGAAAACAGTGATACCATTCAATGGTAAGTGTTAAGATTTGTGGTAAGCTTAAAAAAAGATAAATTCATATTTTTATTAATCAAGGATGCATTTAAAAATTTATCAAAAGTGACAGTGAAGACAATTTATAATGGTACAAAAGATTTCTAGTTAAATGCTTTAAGAAATTTAATAAATGCTGTTCATTGAACTTTCTATTCATCAAATGTTATACAGCACAACTGTTTTTAACATTGATAATAATAACATTTTTTTTTGTTTGTTTGTATTTTTGATTAAATAAATGCAGCCTTGGTGAGAAAGAATAAGAGACTTCTTTAAAAACAATTTTAGTACTTTCAAACTTTTATCAGTTATATATATATATATATATAGAATATGAATAAAATGAAGTATACATTATATACTAAAACATGATCATCTGTATAATAGTAAAAATGTTATTCAATATACTTAAAGTTTTTATTTTTTAATATATAAATTCGACTCATTCTCAATCTTTAATCTCATTATGACAAATAATTAAATATAGGCTGGACTGTTGTTACAAGCACATTTTGCTACTTATTTGGGAATATGGTGAAGCCACAATTTGCGTGTTGTTTGCTTAGACGCATAACCTGCACTAAAGATTTAAAGACTAGAGGCTTTAAAAACGGCCACGTTGGTCAGCAAAGATTCACTTTCTCAAATAAATGTCACATTAGTTGTAAAAAAAAAATGTCACATGATGTATTTAGCTATGATTGATTTGTTAGATCTTTTATAGTTTTGCCTGGACTGATGATAGTATAATGAAATCTGTTCTCCTGTTTGTCATTTAAAGAAACTACTGTCCCAGTCTGACTTTATCCCATGTGTTTTGCTTAATGCTTATTTGTATTTGTTCGTTGTGCCCCATTTGATGATGTTATTAGCATAAATAGGTTATTGTTAGTTTCTTGTTTCACTCCTCAATTCTGTATTTTTTAACATATTTCATAACAAGCACATATCAACTTTTATTTTCAAATTTTCTGTTACAACTTTTTCAAGGTTTTCAATGTATAATTATTATGTAATTGTTTACTTGTTCAAAAATATTTTAAAATGATACATTTATTTATTAGTGAGAAATATTGTTCTGTGATTTTTATTCTCCAAATTTTTTGTTTTGCTGACTATTCCCCATGCCCCGTTGCAAGTTCTGCAAAAGATAAAATAAATTTGGGCAACGTTATTATGATAGTAGTTAAGTTGTTAAAACTTGAGACAGATGTTTACTGTAGTAGATGGTTTCTTCGACTTAATTTGAATCGCTCGCATCACTCCAGAAAATCTGTTTATTGTTCTTATAATTACACTCTAAGACCATTTTTATTCTTATTCAGGGCTTTCCTAGGGTTCATTTTTGCACCTGCATGAAAGCCTAGGTTTTTTTTGTATCAGAGAGATTATAGATTATGAGTATGACTGTCTAATGATAATGATTTACCACTGGCTCTTTTATGCGCACTGTTACTGTTATTACTCACATACACACACACACACATACACAAAGTTTACCAATAAACCACCTCTGTTTTTGGCAGGTAACGGGTTTGTATACTACTGGACGAGGAGAAATAACAAGTCTGGATGCTGGAAACATCGATGACATCCTTAGTGAGTTCTTACCTTGTTTATTTGTGTGTTTGAAGGAGGCTGTTTCAATCAGACAGCTACTGCACCTGTGTTGTGCATGTGGGTGTCAGTTATCCAATGGTGCTTTGTCATTGTAGTAGATCAAATGACATTAAACCACATGTTTCTCTCCACAGACAGTGCAGGGGTGGCTCTAGTCAACTTCTATGCAGACTGGTGAGTGTCTCTCAGATTAACGCCTCCAGATGTGTGTTTGTCAGAAAGGGTGATGATGATGAGAGTTGTTGATTTGCTTTGACATTAAATACTTAAAGGGTTAGTTCACCCAAAAAAGAAAAGATTGTCAATTACTCACCCTCATGTCATTCCAAACCGCAAGACTTTCGTTCATCTTCGAAACGTGTCTTTATTTCATGAAATCCGAGAGATTTCTGTCCCTCCATTGACAGCTATGCAACTATTACCACTTGCTTCAAAAAGAGATCGTAAAACGAATCTATATGAATTGAGCAGTTTAGTCCAAGTTTTCTGAAAAGACTCGATCACTTAATATGATGACCAGAATTGAATTTAGGCTTTTATTCACATATGAACATTGATCAGCGAACATAAACAGAAGCTCAACCGTACTTGCTTGAGAACAAACCTCATTGGTTCTTGCAGAAGCTGAAACGTGCTGCGTAACAGGTGAGAACGAACCTTGTTGGTTCTCGCACATCAAGCAAACATGCTTGAGCTTCTGTTTACCACAACTGATGTGTGAGTTGATGAATGTCTATATGTGAATAAAGGCCTAAATTAAACCTGTTCATCATAAAGCGATCTCTTCAGAAAATTTGGGCTAAACCGCCCAATTCATATGTATTAGTTTTACGCATTTTTTTAAGGGATAGTTCACCCAAAAATGAAAATTCTCTCATAATTTACTTGCTCTCATCCCATCCCCGATATATATGACTTTCTTTCTTCAGATAAACCCAAAAATTTTGCTGGTCCTCTGCTTAGTTTTGTCAAGCTGATCTTGTTGTGAACGTGCCTAAGCTTTTTCAAGCATCAAACGAGCAGCACCCATTCACTTGCATTATACGGACTCACAGAGATTGATTATTTTACTGAAAATCTTTGTTTATCTGAAGAAAGAAAGTCGTATACACCGGGGATTGCATGAGGGTGAGTAAATGATGAGAGAGTTTTCGGTTTATTTTGTGGTGAACCATCCCTTTAAATAAGTTGACATGTCCTGATGATGATGATATATTATAAAAAGCATATTGTGCAGCTTATTACACAGAATGAACAGACCTGAAATATTCTATCTGTATCTGAAGTCATTTTATTTGTATGTATTTTCCGCAGGTGTCGTTTCAGTCAGATGCTTCACCCTATTTTTGAGGAGTCGTCGAACATAGTGCGGGAGGAATATCCAGACGCTACACAGGTGGTGTTTGCCAGGGTGGACTGTGACCAGCACTGTGAGTTTATACACACACACACACATTGGTTTAGCCTTTGAGATAAAGCAAATTAAACAGAATTATTGATGTCTTGTAAAGTGTTTGATGGTTTAATGACAAAACTGCATCTTCTGTGAAGTCAAGGCGGCTCAAAGATACCCCACAGCGTGGGTGTGTGTGAGCGAGAGAGACCTCGCATGACTGATTCCAGCCGATCGGCTTTGGAGTATTTACCCCCCACATTGGTTGACTTTCATTTCTCGGCCCCTCCCCCTTTCCTTCTTGCCTTCTCTCTGTCTCTACTTTCTTTAATTCTTTCCCTTTTTCTCTCTCTTTAGCCCTTTTTTGTCTCTGTACTTTGACTTGAGACCATCTTTCTCTTTAAAACGAGCCTATCTCTGACCTTTTGATCTTTCTCTCTCATAACCTTAAAAGTAAAATATTCATGGATTGACACATTTTGTTCTTCAAAAGCAGAGCATCTGGAAGGGTAAAGTGTTCTTCTGCATGTGGGTCCTAAAACTCGCCCTTCTATGTTACAAGCCAAACAAAAATCAGTGTGACCAGAAAAGTCATGTTATCTCATTCTGTTGGTTTTCATTGATTTAAACACACCTTTAGATGGTCACCTTTAGGTATCTACAGTACATGTCAAAAGTTTGGAAACATTACAATGTTTTAATTTTTTGAAAAGTCTTTTTTTCGAAAAGTCAAATTTATTCCTGTGATGGCAAAGCTGAACTTCTAATGTTACAAAATAGTTTTCATCTCAAATAAATGCTGTTCTTTTGAACTTTCTATTCATCAAATAATCCTAAAACAATTGACAGCTTCCACAAAAATATTAAGCCGCACAACTGTTTTCAACATTGATAATAATAAGAAATGTATCTTGAGCAGCAAATCAGCATATTATGAATGATCATGTGACACTGACGACTGGGGTAACGGCTGCTGTTTTTGTTCTGTTTCTCTTGATAGCTGATATAGCCCAGCGCTACAGGATAAGCAAATACCCCACACTCAAACTGTTCAGAAATGGGATGATGATGAAGCGAGAGTACAGAGGTCAAAGGTCAGTAACCGCCATCGCTGATTTCATCCGCCAGCAGAAAGTGGATCCAATCAAAGTGATAGAAAATCTGGAGGAAATCAGCACTGTAGATGTGAGTGTTTCACAATCACAATGCTATACAATTTTATTTCTGTGGCACATTTTAAGTCAAAATGCTTTTCAGGTTTAGTAACTAAGAATGACGTGGAGTTTGGATTTCCTTGCTGTGTCATCTTACTTTCCTTCCTCTCTTTCAGAGGAGTAGACGCACCATCATTGGTTACTTTGAGAATAAAGACTCTGACAATTACCGTACTTATGAGAAAGTGGCGAACATCCTCAGAGATGACTGTGTTTTCCTGGCATCTTTTGGGTAGGAGAAGCACTTAAGATACTTAAAGTCTGTTGCTTTGTAAATACATGTATTGATCTTATTGTGAACGATTTATCCATGCATATGTTTCTAAAAAGTATAATTCAATCTTCAATCATTTAGTCTGCATAAGCCCTGCCCCTTTCTTACAATCAACTGCAATCTTTCATTCAGATCTGCCTCTATCCAATCAACAACTGATAGATAGAAGTCCCTTGGGCCTTTAAAGGGACAGTTCAGTTTCAGATAAAAATTCTGACATTTATTCACCCTCGTGTCATATCAAACCTGTATACTGTTATTTTTTCGGTGGAACACAGAAAGATATATATATATATATATATATATATATATATATATATATATATATATATTTTTAAATAATCTTCACACAGCTCTTTTCCATACAACAGTACAGTTGTGACCATATGGCTTCTGAAGAAGCACAAATCATATGGACTACTTTTATGATTTCTTAATGGTGCCGTTTAGTCCATTTTGGAGCTTGACTGCCTGCGTTCAGTATGAATAGAAGTATGGTAGGGGAGTAAATAATGATAGAATTTACATTTTGGGTGAACTTCATTACCTCAATTTTAAATGTCTTTTCTCACATCAGTCTTATTCTTTCTATGCGTCTCTTTTTTCAGGGAAGTTTCTAAGCCTGAGCGGTTCAGTGGTGATAATATTATTTATAAGCCAATGGGAGAGAATGCTCCTGACATGGTCTACATGGGCTCGCTCACAAATTTTGACCTCAGCTATGCCTGGACACAGGACAAGTGTGTGCCGCTAGTCCGAGAAATCACATTTGAAAATGGAGAGGTATGATTCCCTTTCTTGAAATATATTTTTGTGTGTCTATGTGAGGCATCACATGTACTTTCTTTCCATTTTGTCCGCATTGTTATTTGTGTACAGTTCTGTCGAACAGCCAATTCGTCATTTGCATAAGAAAAGTCCCCTCCCCCTCAGTGTACTTTTCCCACGCTCGAGCACATCTGAGTGTGTACGTTTCAAGTGTGTTTGTGTTTTAAAGACGTCCGCATGCCATGTCCTTTAGTAGGTGTGGGTTTTTTCTTTGATTTACTTGACCGCATGTTTTGAATAACTTCAGTCTCTGTTGCTCGGTGACATGGCAGATTCTCCACAATCTGCTCCACTGACCCACCTCTCCTCGACTGCACTTCACCCAGCCATCCTACACACTCTCAAAACTCATTATACAGCACTTAGTTCCAGGCCTCGAATCAGTACAACCAATCCAATGGTCCTCATTTTTTGTATAACGTCACTGGGACTTTCCACTGTTCGTATCATTCTGCTGGACTATGATTAAAATGTGTGTTTTTGTGTGTGTGAAGGAACTGACGGAGGAGGGCATCCCATTCCTGATCCTCTTCCATCAGAGGGATGACACAGAGAGTCTGGAGAAATTTCAGCAGGAGGTGGCTCGCCAGCTTATCAGTGAAAAGGGTATGCACAGGGGCCAGACAGCATCAGGGTCATCTTTCATAATTCATTGGTTAGATATCGCTCACGTGTATAATACAGGAATGCAAACCTCTCACCTTTCAGTGAAAATCGCTGTTTTGAATCCAAAATGTGTCATTTGTGTGGATATAAGTTTATAATGTAATAAAAATATTTATTATTATTGTATAGTCATATTGAATGGGTTCCAGAAAAACAACAGTAAAAAAGCTGATATTGTTTTTACATTTACATTGAGAATTTTCATTTTCAAAGAATCGAACATATTCACAAATTCAAATTGGTCTGAATGATTTGTTTCTAACCAGTCGAACAAATCAAATACTGTATTCATAAAAGACTGGAATGGTCATGGAAATTGTTTAAAATGTGTGTGAACCCTGATTTTTGGATAGGGCTTGGCAGGATGGTCAACAAGTTAACAAATTGATCAGTTAGTGAGGTTGACTCACATCTTTGGTTCTTAAATCATAACATGACTGAATAAAACCCTCTCAGAGAAGTTGCTTCTTTAAATTAATCATTTACATTCTGTTTGAAATGTAAATATTGTTTCGCTTTCTCTGTGACAAGCAGAAACGCTTCTAAAAAGTCAGAGTAATTTCATCTTTTTATTGATTTTTACACATCGGTCTGAACCCTTTAAATTGCATAGACGTTTGTATCGGTGTGAACAGGCCTTTAGACATAGCATCGCAAAAGCATTGTAAGCCTAAGTAGATCATAGAGACCAGTGGCAACAATTGTATCTATGATCTACTTAGGCTTACAATGCTTTTGGGAAACGCAGCCCAGGATGGTTCAAACGTTTCAAGCTGTGTTCCATGCTATTGTGCTTTGTCTAGCCATTTTTGAATGCAAGAACACATCCAATGTGATCGCCTAATCTAATCAGGGCCTAATTGACTAATCAATTAGTCGTTCAGATAACCCACCAATGAGTTTTGCACAATCCTAATCCAAATATACTTTTGTTGGGCAAAAATGATCAGCTCACAAGGTTTTAAACATCTAAATTGACCTTGACTCTCTCTTTCTCTCCGGCAGGTTCTATAAATTTTCTTCATGCAGATTGTGATAAGTTCCGGCACCCTTTACTGCACATTCAGAAGACCCCCGCTGACTGCCCTGTAATTGCCATCGATAGTTTCCGCCACATGTATGTCTTCCCAGAGTTCAGCGACCTTGCGTAAGTATTGCACTTGTCCGTGTGTCTTTAATGCAGAGATTAGTTCAGCCTCCTCCCTGCAGGTTATCTCTTGTTCCAGACACCTAGCAATTATACGATGATTATAGACTCGGCCCCACACCAGCACACGCTCATAAAGAGAGTGATAGAGAACGGCCTTTGGGCTTCATCTCTCAGCCAGTTACGCCAATTAATTTAGCGACACCTGACTGATAGCTGTAATGTGTGTGAACGTAGAAGCTTAGTTTTCATAGGTTCATAACCATGTTATTACTACTTTATTACAACATCACAATTATTTATGACACCAGAGGCCGCATATGACAGTAAGAATCATAATTCAGCACATGCCTTATTTTATTAAGCACTCTGCATATCCTATTATCCAATAAGGGCCTTATCAGCCAGCCTCCCATCAGTCTTTGATACAGCTGATTTTCCAGGGGGTTCGTGGCGTCTGGGGCAGTACAGATGATGTCATTATCTTGTTAAAATGCTGTGGTTTTGGAGACTGTCGGCCCTCTCAGGGTCTTATCACTCATTAAATCAATGATGCTGCTTGGGGTTTTTTGTTTGTTTGTTTTTTTGGACTGTTTTATGATGCCTTGCGTGTATGAACAGGGTTCCAGGAAAGCTGAGGCAGTTTGTATTGGACCTGCACTCAGGAAAGTTACACAGAGAGTTCCATCATGGCCCAGACCCCACAGACAGCACTCCAGGACAGGTCAGAGTTCACCACAGCTGCTGCATGGGTGTGCTTTTGATTTACAACAGGGATCTGAGTTGGGCGTCATCGTCATATTTAAAAAAAAGAAAAAAAAGAAATTAGGCTTTTTCAGTTTTTACTAGGAATGTGCGTAAAACTTGGATAAGTAGGCAGTGATTGATCATGGAAACAAAATAAATCAATTATTCTTTTCCCCCCAAAAAACTTTTACTACTTATCCAAATTATTTATTTTTTTCTCTAATGGCAAAGCCGATTTTTCAACATCATTATTCCAGTCTTCAGTGTCACATGATCTTTCAGAAATCATTCTAATATGATGATTTGGGTCTCCGGAAACATTTCTCATTATCAATATTGAAACACAATTGTGCTGCTTAATTTATTACTTATTTATTACAGTAGTCAACATTTGAAGTGGATCAAAATCTTTCATCAAAGTTATACATGAATTTTTAACAATACCCGTTCTTGTCTTAGGACAACTTTGATGAACTTTTTTGATCCACTTCAAATGTTGTCTACTGTACCTAATTTTTGTGGAAACCATGATTTTCAGAATGACATGATGACTAGAACGTTGAAAAGAACATTTATTTGAAATATTTTTTAACAATATAAAGGTCTTTACTATCACTTCTGATTAATTGAATGCATCCTTGCTGAATAAAAGTATTCATTTCCTAAATACTTACTGACTCCAAACTTTTGAATGGTAGTGTAAAACTACACTTTATATCAGTATCAATGCTTGTAATTTCTCATTTCCCTTAACAAATTACATATTGTACATAACAGCTCATCATTATGCTGTTAGTTAATAATCAGTTTCTCTGTTTGGCTTGTGCATGACATTTGCTGAAAATCAGTGTTGTCCAATTTCGCGATGATTAAAGTGCACCATTATGACAGGCACTTTTACTCGGGTTGCGAGTTCAGCACACTTCCCAGTCAAAATCTCTGAAAAGAATGTGTTGAACTAGACTAATTAATGCAGACGTACATTAATTAAGACAATGACTGAATGAAACGTACGTGCTGACATTTGAATGCGTGCGCAGCAGAATGAACCCGGTGACCTGTGTGCAGAGCGATCTGTCACAGGAACACATCCATCTATCCGTGGTCCGGGTATAATGACTGTGTGAACAGTCGCTTTACAGATCCAGGTGATTTGTGGTTGTTTATTTGCCTGTCTGCGTGTGTATTCCAGCAGGAGGACAGAGAGGTGCCCAGTAATCCCCCAGAGAGTTCCTTCCAGAAATTGGCCCCCAGTGAAACACGTTACACCATCCTCAGGGACCGGGACGAGCTGTGATGTCACAACTGCATTGAGACCCAACCCAGAACCCTGCAGTCAGCTGGTGCCAACCTGGCACTGCCGCTGTCTGTGCAACGTCTATTTTCATAATTTTTATTTTAGATTAAAAAAAAAAGTGAGAAGGTGAACCCCTGAGCTTTTTTTGGGGTGGGGAATGAAGAGTAGCGTTTTTACATTTGTTTTTGGAGCTTGTAAATATGTTTGTGCTCTGTGGGTCTTGTCTAAATTAAAAATAATTTTTCTCCCCTTTTTTTTTCTTTTTTTTTTTTTTCTTCCCTACATTTTTGTCTACCCAAGTCCCCTTTTTTGTAGAAAAACATTGGTACATTGGTGGTCCTCTTTGTTGGGAACGCACATTGAGTTTATTATGGATCTTCAATGCGGGCAAGTGGAATCATGGGAAAATGTAGTCCAAGAACAAACCTGCAGTCAACCTGTGGTGTTTCACTCCAGTCTTTAACATAGTGTGCGTGTGAGAGTGATTGAGTGAGTGAGTGTGTGTGTTACAGCACATGTATGTTACATGTGCTTATTAGTCTGTATTCATATGCACTGTACCGTTCCAGACTTGTTCAAATTCATGCTCGCTAAGATCCAGACTGGCTAGTCTCATATCATCCCATTCCATCAGGGGGAGTGGTCAGGGGCGGGGTTAGAAGGGTGAGGATTATTTGTAAATCTGTCATCTCAGAGGGGACAAGGAAACCAAAAAAAAGAAAAGTAAATTAAAAAACATTTTACAAGATTCTACTTTGTCTGTTTCATTAAATGTTTCACTGTTGTAATTCATTTCTTTCTACTTTTGCTCTTCCTAGGTCACATTACGCATGCCGTGTACATTAAAAGATATTTCATAAAAGGTAAAAAGTTAGTAGGTAATAGTTAGAAAGCAAATTAGATTTAATTTAAAAAACAATCCCAACCAAAATCACAGCAAGTATACAAGGCTCTTCCTGTGTCACACTACTGTCAATAAAATTGGGGTTTTCGCACTTGAAATAGTTGTAAACCCTGGGTAAACAGAATCCTGGGTTGTCTTCACATTGCTCATCATTTTTACCTTGGGTTAACTATTAATTCTGGCTTTGGTGTTCATTAATGCTGTTTCACACTACATTCCTAAACCCTGGGTAAGCGTTTTTATTTGCATATTTAACACGAGGCATGCGATTGGTTGTCGGTAGCTAAGCATCTAGTCGTAAAATTCTAACACTGCATTGTTTCTTACTGCACACACGTGGCACCGCAATGCGGGGTTAACACCCCGAAAGCGGTGCTAACCCAGCTAAATGTTCCTTCACCCAGGGTTAAAAGCAGTGTTTAGAACAACGGTAACCCGGGGTTAAGTGCAGTGTGAAATAAGGGAGAGTTTACCCAAAATGAAAAATCTGTTATCATTAATATTCACCCTCACGTCATGTCAAACTTGTTACTTGCTTTCTTCTGCAGAACACAAATGCACATTTTGTTGGTAACCAAACAGTTTTGGTTATTGATTTCTAATGTTTTTTTGTCTTTACGATGGAAGTCAATGGGAACTGAAAATGTTTTGTAACCAACACTCTTCAAAATATGTTTTATATTTCATAGAAGAAAGTCATACAGGTTTGGAATGACATGAAGGCGAGGAAATAATGACAGAATGTTCATGTCTAGGTGTAACTCGCATTTTAAAGGTGCTTGACCTAAAGGATTGTGCATTTTAATCACAATCTTCTGTCCTCATGATCTAACAAATTGGGGAGAAATGTCACAAAGACAAAGTATTGCCTTGTGAGCACTTCATACTCCATCGACACATCAACATCGGGCTACCCCTTCAGACAGACATGCTGATCAAGAAGGTGGCAGTCAGACTTGGATGATTAAAGTGAGGTGAAAAACAGAAAAAAAAGTTTTTAAGGTTAAGATAACATCAAGAAACTGAGACTGCCACAAAAGATGTAATTGCTCAAAAAGTCTTGATTTAATCAGTCATGTTTTCATAAAATGTGTCATTATCTCAGTGTAAAGAAGTGTATGTCCCAAAGTCAACAGATCACATAAACTACACAGTATATGCATGCACAAATTTTACATTTAGCGGTTCAACAGCTTGTCACTGTATCCTCAAAGTTACACCTTTGTACCTTATCGACCGCTAAAGGAACCATATTAGTGTCTTGTAATTGTCCCAGTGACAAGCCAAATGTAAAAATTTTGCTAATTTTTTTTCTTCTGAGAGTGTGGGCGGCAGCATCATCCAAATGTTACTGACACGGCTCACACACCCTACATAAAAGAGTGTATGCAGCAACTGGATTCAGGCTGAGTTGTATTATTGCCACTCAGTGGCATCTTCAATTGACAACAGAACCGATTATGCTTCTTCACCCAAAAATGAAAATTATACACTGTAAAAAAAGTTGCTGCCTTAAATTTTTTAAATACAATCAACTTGGATGTTTAAGTCATTTCAACTTAAATTACATTAAACTGACTTGATAAAAATTAGTTGAATCCTTTATAACTAATAAAAAAAATACTTGACTTATTTTTATGATTCAAAGCAATGTAAAAACCTATGTTTTCATTTTTTAAAGTGTATTATCATTTACTTACACATGTCATTCCAAACCTGTATGACTTTTTTTCTTAACATAAAATAAAATATACTGAAAAATGTCTTAGTGTTTTTGTCCATACACTGAAAGATGATGCAATCCAATGTTTTATTTTGGACCCCATTGACTTTTATTAAATGGACAGAAACAGTTGAAACATTCTTCAAAACATCTGTGTTCCACAGACTAAAAGTCATAAAGGTTTGAAATGATACGAGGGTGAGTAAATGATGACTGAATTTTCAGTTTTGGGTGACCTATCTCTAAACTATTTATCTATGAAAAAAAGAAAATAGTAACAGTAACCAGCTCAGTAACAGAGAATGTTACCTATAGCTAACATTTATTAATTAATACCCCTAATTGTTTAAGATTTAGTTTAAAGTAAGTTTTTATAACAGCAGACAGATTTTAGGCTTCTCAAAATGATAGGTTGTATTTTAAAGTGTGGGGAAAACAGCTTTGAATATAGAGCATACTCAACTGAGAGAGTAAAAACTCTTGGAACTGTCCACAATATTTTATGAAATATAAACTGTTTCTATCTTAAAGGGAAGCTGACATAGTGTGACTGGTTTCACCCCGCCATCCTTATCGCCAGACATCAAAGATTCCTTTTAACTTCAGTTTCTTTATAGTAAAATGGAAATGATCTGAAGTGGGTGTTTAAAGGAGACACAAGAAAAAAGGGTCTCTGATGTCATGTAACATCTTCCCGCCTACAGCAGGAACCCATGACATCACAACACCTATGGAGATTACATCACAGCGCACCACAGATGGCCTGCCATATTTTCCATTTAAGTGTGTGAGTGTGTACGCACAGAATATGGAAAGTGCAATGTGTCTGACTGTGTGCAGGTCAGTCTCACGGGACTTTCCCTCCCTGAGCAGCACAGCCCGACACATGCAGAGCTCAGCACTCGGGCTATCTCTCTTGTGCATCACGCACAGGGTGGCTTGCATGTGCTGTTGGAGACGTTCATTCGCCCCTTTCGTAGGGGAAGTCCAGTGTGTTGTGTTATGAGGAAGGCGTGGGGGCCAGTGTGGGTCTTAGACCCGGCTCTGTGTTTGTGAGGGGATCCCCCTGCTCACCCTAAAAACAACGCGTGAGACCGGGGGCAGCAGACGCAGCTCCAAGTCAGGACAAAAACAATCAGATTCAACATTGTTTTTCAAAAACGAGAAGTTGATTTTTAAATAACTGCAGCTTTTTGAGCTTTCCAAAGGAGCTGCATGCTTTTTAACTTTGATAAACGATTTTGCGCGAGTCGGTACCACACATCAAATGCAAAAGGACTGAACGAGTGTTTGACAACAGACAATATTTTATTTTCCGCTTTGCTTTTGACAAGTGAAAGTAAAATAAGGATCGATAAACCATAAAAGGCCATTGTTCTTTTCTGCTGGTCCTTTGGGGCCGTAATCAAATAACATTCAAATGTTGTTTGTGCTGAAGGAGGTCTCTCACAGTGCATTGATTTCAGTATTAGATTTGCCTCTCAGAGGCTTGTGTTATCAAAGCCTTACAGGGAAACCTCACCCAAATCTATCAGCCACCCCAGCAGCACACAGAAAGACACACGAAATACAAGAACAGCCACAGTTTAGAAGGGTGTTTTATCTAAACCTGAGCGTTTTTGATCAGAAGTATCTCGATCACATGTATTAAAGGGATAGTTCACCCAAAAATAAAAAATTCTGTCATTATTTACTTGCCCTCAAACCTGTATACATTTATTTTGTTCTGCTGAACACACAGGAAGAATGTTTGTAACCAAACGAGTTCTTGGGCACCATTGACTTCCATTGTATGTAAGCCAATGGTGGCCAACATTTTTCTAAATATCTTATTTTGTGTTCAGCAGAACAAAGGAATTAATTCAGCATTGGAACAACTTGAGGAGGGGAGTAAATGATGACAGAATTTTCATTTTACTATCCCTTATTTTAGCATCGAACTATCCCTTTAACTGCTTAGAAAGACCATAAAAAAGTATACATGAAAAACATTTCAATTGTATTTTCACTGTTACAGCTCACAAACAATTCTCTTCCTCAATGTGCAATTATAATTTAACTTATCTTGTAAATAGTTACAAGCCAAGTCGGCTTAAGTATTGCTATAAAGATCTCTTCTGTCTGTGTTATATTTAAACAATCATCTAACTTGTATATTGATTATCCATTACAATGGCTTATTAAGCGTTATCACAATTCATTGAAATTGTATTTATTTTTAGCAGCCTGAGACATTATTAGATATCTGACATGTTTCATTACCATCAATCACTAGTTAAGGCATTCATGGAAACTAGACACTCATTTTAATTTCATAATTTCTCATTGATAATGATGTGTAACTATTATTTTTTATAGTCTACTGAGTTTCTCACTACTGCGCATTGCCTCGATTCTCATACCCATACCATGACTGTTGTGATGCATACAAACCTTATAAAATACTTCACATAGCATCGATGTTTCATTTATATCTACTCATAACACGCTAAACAAAATTAAAAGGAAATCCATCATAGTTAAAACAGAGCAGGTGCATTTAAAGTGTTTATAATGGAATCGTGTGGTAAACGGTAACATTAAGCACAAAACCTGCATAGCTGTAATAAACAGGACCATGTCACCGACTGCAAATCCTCAGTATGTATAACAAATCTTGCAGTTCAAAAGTCAAATAACAAACCCTTACACAACAATTACCTATAATCTCTAACCACCTCTAACACCTACAGTCACATGACTGCTACAAAGGTCAATCAGCTGTTTGGCAGAAGATCAGATGAAGGCCTTATTTGCTTTGGCATAGACATGAATGATGAATTAAGGCAAACGGAAAATTAGCAGGTCCACTTTGTGTAGCACATCTCATGTGCAGGTTTTGCACTGCATGTAGGAGTTATTCTACAGTTGTGGTTATTATGTATGTTCGTTGAGCGTCTGGATGTTATTTCAGAACGAGCGTGGGTCGGCAACTCAGACGTCTCGTGGCCTCCTCAACAAAAACAAATGTGCTTGAGTGTGTCACTGAGTGTCGTTCTTACTGTTGTTGTTGCTCTTAAGTTGTTGTAGCTGCAGGTCGATTTTTTCTTTCCTCTTTCGTTGGATAATGTTGCCCCCGGCGAAACCAAGCAGTCCACCCCCCACTGCAGCGGCGACCCCCGCCACTTTAAATCCTGCTAAGAGTCCCAGCGGGCCCCCTAGCACTCCCCCCACCACCGCACCCGCCACGGGCAAAACCGCCAGCTTCAAACGGGCCGCCTGCAGAGAAAGAGCATAATACAACATATACATGAGTCAACGAGAGTGTCCACAATAAAGGAAAAATCTGTTGTTATAATATATTATTATTATCCTCTCTATATACAATTATTAATATCATTTTTTAATATATATTTATATAAATAATTGGGGATATATTTTTAATATATTTTAATAAATAATTAATAATATCTATTATTATCATTATTATTGATTGTCCTCACTACAGTATAATTCAGTTTTTTATACATATGCCTGCATGTTTAGATTTTCAAACATAGTATTAAGCAGTCAATCTTTTTTAAATATACAAAAAAATATCTTTTTTTTTCTTCTTCATTATGATATCTGATATCAGGAGAATTATCATCCTGACATTTTCACTGTTCACCTAAAAAAAAAAAAAAAAAAATATATAAAAGGTGTATTAAAGTCATTGTGTGTGTAGTTTTGCATTTTTTACGTATTTCTGAATAAACTACTATAGAAAAAAAGAGCCTCATTTCATTAACCTACATGCTATGTGCAGGAAAGCATCAGACAGTTGAGAAATGAATCATTTAGGCGACATCAGTATCCCAAAACAGTGTTTTAACTAGCACACTTTTCATGTGCTGTTTTCCTGATAACCATACAATTATAAAGTCTTTCATGTCTAGTTTCCATCCAAACAGTAACATATGCAGTCGTATGTAAACACACGCACAATATTAATCAGAGATCTGAGAAGAAGAAAAAAAGAGCCACGATGAAATTGGACGTGTGCAGATCAAACCAAACCTGGTAAATGAATTGATATCAGGTAAAAAGAAAAATGCCAGATTATTCTTTAATTAGCACGACGAAACAAGCCTCCCGGCACACGCACACACAATTTAATTTTAGTGGAGATATGTAAACTTTAAAGGCAGGGTCGTCCATCAAATGCCACCTTTCCTCTCTTCTCATCTCTCTTTCACCCTTTCTCATGCTCTCGTTCTCTGTCATCTAATCATCTTCACAAGGCAAGGTTAACTGAGCAGTTAATTATGCTTGGAGAGAGAGAGTTTGAGGAAGCAACTCCTGTTATTAGGATCCGCCTGAGCCAGCACTTTAAGGACTCTGTGTGTGTGTCAGAATATATGTCTTTAGCAGTGTGTATGTATGTGTGTTGACCACCCCCTGTCCTTTTCAGCCGTCACAGAGGTGGGTCGACTTTCTACACGGGCATCAGACTAAGAGCTCAATAGAACTGCATTATCTCTCAACTCCAAAAAAGAGAAACATTTCAATTGAGACTCGATCAATAAAACACATACAAGCCCCACGTTTGCACGCAAACACACACGGCCCATGCCTCCATGTTTCACCCTTCCCTTGCTTTTTCTGTCAAAGTTGGCACTCCGCAGTGTGTGTATGTGTGTGTATGTGTGTGTATATGTATCGAACCCCCAGCAGGAACTTGAATGCTGTTTATAGACTCTCTTTTACACTCTTTCCACTTCCATGCGCTCACACACACACATCGACTCCCTGTGAGGGGCCGACCAACACACATCGATCCCTCTCCGTTCCATGCCTTCCGCCACCATCGCCACCTCTCTTTCTCTCTCTCTTTCTCTCTCTCTCTCTCTCTCTTAATTGTGGTTTCCTTGCGCTCTGAGGTGGATCAATAGGCTGATGGTGGGGTAGGCCGAGAGAAGCAGGGGGGTAGAGTGGAATCGATCCCCTAGCAGGAGTGTCTCCTCTCCCCTTACCTTCCCTAGGCTCTGGGTCCCCTCCTCCACATTAGCAGCTGCTATGCTAACATTCGCCTCAATGCTGTCAATCTTCTCCTGCTGAGCCTAAGACAGAAAGACGCAAGTTACAGACTGTCGACATACTGACATACAAACTCCCTCAAAAGTCTAAACAAGATATGTGTATATGAGAAGTTGATAAATGGACGAACCTTTTAATCAAGATTTAACCAAGAATATATATACAGACACACATATATGTGGACAATATACATTTGTTGGAGTTGCATAAGGTTTTTCCTGTTAATGACAAATAGATTTTTATAAGAATAAATATTCTAAGTAATTAATTTTGCATTTGTTTTAGACCATATATACAATACAATATATTAAAAGTGTGTATGAATTACACTTTATTTTAATGTGTCATTGTTACAGTGTGTAATTATATATTTAAGTACTGAGTAATATGAATTAACTTACTGTGCTTACTTACTATAGGCTAGGATGTAATTATACATAATATACTGTAATTACTATGGTAAATGCATGTAACACTGTAAAATAAAGTGTTACCAAATACATTTCTAAATAAATAATAATTAAAAATCAATGTATAATAATTAAAAATGTACAAGAATGACAAAAATGCTGTATAAATATAGTTTTATATGGCATGTCAAACTGCAGAAAACTGCCGTCATATCAACTGCCCATATATGTGTCTACAATTATTTAATGACAAAAATTCAAAATCCTATCCCATCGAAAACATAAACACCTCATAAATAGCAATAGTGAAGCAGACAAAGACATGCTCAGTAATCTTGGTAGTGGGTAGCTGGGGGTTTGAGTGCTGGGACAGAAGGGTGAATGGGAGGGGGCTGGTTGTCGGGGGTAACTGGGTGGTCTGTCGGAAGCTTATGAAATATTCAAAGAGTGGCAGCTGTCTCTCTGTCTAAATCAGTGTGAGCTCAAAGTAATCACTACACACACATGCACACATAAACACACACACAATAGAGACTCCTGGAAAAATCTTCTTGAACTCTCTAGCACAGAGTTACATGAGCCTGGCACCTGCCCCTGTGTAGCATGTGTTTGTGTGAAAAGAAATCGGTGTTTGCATTGCTCTCTGCAACTCATGGCGACTGTAAAGTTAGTGCTCCTCTTCCTCTTCATTTTTAAAATAATTTGTGTGTATGTAAATGTGTCTGAGTGTGCTTTCTCAGGACTCAACAATAAGGATGAGCTGGTGGCCCAGGGCCAGTGTGAGACTGTTTCAGGTCAGTTGATGAACTGTCCCTATCAGACCGGTGCTGCGCTGCCACTAAATCTTATACGTGTTGATCTTCTATATGTCATTTTATGCCTTGCAGCCTCAAACATTTGGTTTTCTGTGATGTATTGGACACTGTTGCTGTAAATTCTGCAGATTTAAAAGTTTTATGGAAATTGTGAGATCTTGAAAGCATTAGTAAGAATGGGATGAGATCAGTAATGTTTCACACTCCATTCCATTATTCCAGATCATATAATGTATATAATACACAGACAGGCAGATGGATGGATGGATGGATAGAGTTGCACATAAAAAAATACATATTACATATTATACAGTAAAGTACAAATATTACCGGGCCAGTGGAAAAAACAACTTTACAATTAAACCTGGTTTCTGTTGGTGTAATAATGATGCAATTTATCACTGATGGACAAGTCAAAACATGAATCACTAATCAAAGTCCTATAAGCATTTATTTATTAGTCATCAATTCACACCTTACCACTAAACCCTGTAAACAGACTATTTTAAGACACTCACTAATGACTGGGTACGAAAGCTATTGATGGCTTTCTTTTTCTCTCCCTCCCTCCCCTCAGGAGTAGACGGTAATCAGCACCGTCTGCTCACAAGTTGTATGAATGCTCAAGAGAACACACAGTCACACAAGCAGACCTCCTGGGTTCATCTTTGGCTCAGTGTTAACGGAATAAACGATACGGTGGGTGTCCTCTAAAGAGAGGCAAGCGCTAATAAGCCTGGCTATCATCATATTATACTTACGACCATCCACATCCCATCATCGTTCCCCTACAGGGTGTGAAGTGTTTAGAGACAGCCAGTATCAACTGTTACTGATATTACGATTTTATTTTTGTAGCCCTAAGCTTGGAGGTTGATTCACATGAAGTGGGATGACAGGAAAAATACTCAATACACTGATATTTAAAGGGGCAGGATGGATGGATGATAAATAACAACTAGGAAATGAATAATATCTGTGAAGTGAAATCAATCAATATATAAATACATAATTGTGTACATATATATAAAATAAATTCTAAATTTCTAAATGAATGAATGAACATGACACAAGAACTGGAGGGACATTCATTATTCTTGTGGGGGCGGAGATTGGTAGTTGACCCCACCGGTTAAAATTGCTTTCTGTTGGTGGTAGGGGGTCACAAATTGGGACTGAAAGGGCACAAATCAGTTCTGGGGAGGTAATGCCCCTTTTGCCCCCTCATGGCGCCGGACCTAGAATAAGAACACTGTCTGCACATCCCGAAAAACACATGATCTCTCCTTTTTTCCACCCAGTTTCCAATTGCACGTTGTTGTAATAATGGCTGTTATCCAGCATGGATTCTCATTAATCCTCGCTGGTTAGCGCATAGCTGACAGACTGTCACCAATCTTTGTATGTCTTCTCAATCACACACATTAACACACACACACACTGATGGGATCAATAATACCACCTTGTCGGCTCTCAGGAAACAAAGCCATTTGTCTGACAGCTCTGCCAAACCTAAGGGTTTTGGTAAGCACCCTTTATCAACACACATACACACCATAAATACTTTCACGCTGTCTCTCCCTTCTTTCCAAAAAAAACAAAGAATGAATAATTTCCATAGACGTGTGATACTCACGTGAACAATAGTGGAGAACTCTTGCACTAAACCATCCAATTCCAGCAGGTCCTAAACAAACATACCACAACAATCACACACATTTAATGTTTTTGTATTCAAATATGTTTATGTGTTTGTAAGTGTTTGTTTGTGTTACCTCAGCTAAAGTATCCCAGGACTCAGCGGCGTTCTGTTCCGAAGGGATTTCAGGCAGGAGTAGCTGTGTTTGAGTGACAGAGGAACCGGGGACACCTGTTTCACCATAACCTAACCCATCACATGAAAGTGAAAATGCTTTAAAAAAAACACACACACACACATCTTGATTAACTTCATAAAGCACAGACACACCAGGAAACACATACTGTGCAATTTATCCGAGTCAGTGCTGATAGTTTCGTGAAAGTCTGTGCCGATAGTTTCGTGAAAGGAAGACCTATTGACAGCATCCGCATGCATCTGTAGGAACTCTTGAATGGCAGTGGAGGCTCGATCTCTGATTGGCTGAACAAGTGTCTCCAGAGCTTCGGCATCAGCGCTGCGGACCCGCCCACACAATTTCTCCATCTCCCGCAGGTTAGATCGCAACTGCTACAAAGAGAAAAGAAGAAAGTCTGTGTGATAAGTGGATCCATGATTTTATTCAAAACCTCTATATAGCATGTTCCTTCTATACAACATTGACTTGTTCATTTGAGCAGCAAAAATCTGGTACATAACAATACGAAATATATAACACTCTGAATGATTATGTCACATTTCAACACTGTAAAAAAAGACCCTCATCCGACCCAGTACTGTCGAAGATCTGAAACCCAAAACTGCTCACACTTTTTTTCTCTCCATGCAAGTACAACCAAATATACATTTATCCAGATACATTCTCATTCACTGACAAAACTTTAAGTTATTTACTTTAAGTTTAAATATGCCAACTTTATCACTTTAAGTTTTCAGTCAAAGCTTAAACATATTTGTGAGTGTGCAAAAGTTGTTAAAATTAAAAATATAAATATTTATAACAAACACAGGGTTCCCACACATCTTGACCAATGAATTTCCATTTCTTTCCCATACCCTTTACAGTTGTTCATTATTGATTCCTAGATTTATTTTTAAATAATTCGATTTTTTCTTGTCAGAGCACATTGTCAAATTGACTCTAAACAGACAGACTGATTTTACACTCCCAAACAGCTAAATTCAATCAATGGAATATAATATATAATATATTCAGCAGAGAGAAAAACATTAAGAGGTTAATACTGTATTTCTACATGGACATGAAAGGGTTTTGTTCAAACTTTTTTTTTCAAGTTTTCTATAAGGATGAGAACCCTGTAATGATTTATTTTCTCATTAATTCCAAACCAGATCTTGACAAAAAACAGAAGTTATAAATAAAACAAATAAACTGGTGCTTTGACAGGTCCTGTCAGCTCACGTATGGAAGCAAACATCTAGCAAGGATTACAGATCAATTCATACGCATTGAACGCAGAGGTCAAAGTTAACAGCCGGCCAATCAAAGTGTTCCGCTCGACTGCACTCATTTCACACTCTGAATAATCATCAGGATCATCCCTCTTTATAATTGATTCACACACACAGAGTACTAACCATTACTAACATATGCAGCTCGCTTTATACACAGTAAAAAAAGTTGCTGCCTTAAATTTAAGTACAATCGACTTGGATGTTTAAGTCATTCCAACTTTAATAACATTAAACTGATTAAAAAAATTAGTTGAATCTTGCATAACTTATAAAAAGATGTTGAAAATTGCTTAACTTAAATTGATGAGTTAAAGCGATGTAAAAACATATGTTGTCATAACTTATTGATCATGTTGTTTTTTTTACAGTGTAATTAAGGATGGGGACACCAAGGATCTCAAAGACAGCCAAAATAAATCTTCATCTGGGTCAACACACTCTACTCTCCCTCTCAATCCACCTTCTATAGGTGTGTGATGAGAGCAATCTTAAGGGTTTTTCCTCTTTTTCTCTCTCTCTTTCTGTCCCCTGGGAGTTACTTTAACAATGTCTGTCTTGTTTCCTTCTGTTGTCAGTCGTCCACATCGCGCTGACACAGAAACACTTGCAGGCTCTCACACACTCTCTGCAGTGGTGGACACAGGAAAGCTCTCTGGCATCTCTGGGGGGACCAGACCTGGGTGCTAAGGTCAAACACACACACTCACGGCACATAACACACTCCAAGGACTGCCCCGAGAGAGACGGGGACAGACTCTCAGAGACATTAACACACAGGTTGCATGCTTGTCTGGCCATTAGGAAGAGAAAGGACATCGTACGTACACCATACCGTACACCAGAGGCCTGAGTCAAACATTACTTAATATATATAGACACACTCACAGCTGTATCAGAACAGGGTGACAGCATGATATGAGATCTTTTTGTAATGTTCAGATAAATTTGTGGCTGCACAGATTACTTTGCTTTCTTTTAACCTTTAGTTTAGCCTGGATCAAACCTGACCAACATGATGACTTAAAAGAGCCAATTTATTTATAGCAGAATGTACAAGCTGCTCTTTTCTTGATATAATGAAATTTGAGATTTTTAGTTAACAATGATTTAAATTTCAGTCTGTTTCTCACACACATTTATTGACTTCAGAAGACTTGGTGATGTCTGAAAACCACTGTAGCTCAGACATCTTGCCTAACATCTCCTTTTGACTTCCATGGAATAATGTCATACAAGGTGAGTTAAAGATAACAGAATTTTAATTTTGGGCTGAACTGTGCCCATATGATGTGAAGATTTATTATACAATTTAACTATAGCAACAGCCTGTTGCATCACTAAGAATGTTTTGTCCAAGCAACATTCCACAGTGCCTTGCCGCACATGGGAATGTTTTCAAACCAGTGCACTACCCTGAGAACATCAACAAAACCAACAATAAAATGGAAAGATATTTTCTGTGAACTGAAACAACACATGAATAAACACAATCTGCAGCCAAGTGCATCCATGCTGTTAATGGTATTTCTCCCACACTTTGCGACCAAGACTTTAACATATCATTTTACATAATATAGAAGAATATATAATTTTATAGAGCCTGTACTCCCAAGAGTATTACTGGCCAGAGAAATACTAAAAATGAGCATGTACAACTTTTGAAAGTTTGTTGTCTGTAAGGTTTTTTTAAATGTTTTTGAAAGAATTCTCTTATGCTCACACATGCTGCATTAATTTGATACAAAATACAAAAACAGTAACATTTTTTTTTTTTTTTCAGTAATAATAACAGTAATACTGTTTTCTATTTTAATATATTGTAAAATGTCATTTATTCCTGTGATGGCAAATCTGAATTTTCAGCATCATTTCTCCAGTCTTCAGTGTCACATGATCCTTCAGAAATCATTCTAATTAGCCGATTTGCTGCTCAAGAAACATTGTTATAATTATACATTATAACATTAAAATTAGAAATGTTTTACTGCCACTTTTAATTAATTGAATGTCTTTCCTGAATCAAAGTTTTAATTTCTTTTTTAAAAAAGTCTTGCTGACTTCAAACATTTGAACAATATTGTAACTTTCAAAGTGTATATTATTGAACTATAGAATTTTTTTTTTAACTTCAGGATTTTATTAATTGCCATGATTTCTGGAAATCTGGATATTCTCTGAAATATTTCGGCTTTCATGTTCAGGCATGAAAGTGTTGCCATTCAACACCAAAACACTGCTGTAGTTATCACCGCCAATCATCACAATATCCCATAATTTCCCAAGTTTTTCATTTATGTTAGACTTTTGTTGTACCTGGACAGTGCGGCTTGAGTTGATGTGTTCTTGGTGCAGTTTGTCCCATTGTCTGCTTCTCTGAAACTGCAACAAGGAAGCTCAATTAATTAATTTCACAGCTTTAACTATTTATGGACATTTAATAAAGTCTTGTCATGATCACAGCCTGGTATTTCACAATCATCTAGGTTTCCATGGCTATGCAAGACCTCCCAATACCCTGTTATCCTATTATATGTTGCTCAAGCAGACTGACTGGGAGAGATTTCAGATACACCATGAGATCTTCAGCACTCGACTCCCTATGGTGACCGCACACACAGACACATGGCTCTCTCTGTTGACCATATGCTGGGCTTTGCTGACACTGTTCATGTGTGAGTGTTTGTACCTTTTCTATGTTGTGTTGGTGCTGGTGCAGTCTCTCCAGGTCAGTGGGGATGGCCACTTTAATGAATTTCAGAATGGGGGGCTCCAGGCGCCGGAGTGGAAGCTTACCAGCCTCCTCCGCCATCATGACCGTCTCTTATGACCTCTCTTATAAGGTCACAGGCTTAACACATCCATTCATACTCAGTCTTGCTCTAAAAGAGTCATATATTACATAAAATTGAATTTTATTACATTTTAAACATTTCATTAAACATTATGGTAACACTTTACAATAAGGTCCCATTAGTTGGCATTTGTTAATGCATTAACTAACAATAAGAAATACATTTGTTTACAGTAGCCTATTTATTCATCTTTGCAACTGTTCATTAGTTCATGTTAACTCAGGTCTATTAAATAATATTAATAGATATAACTTTTGATTTTAATAATGTAATAGTAAATCTTAAATTAACTTAGATTAATTAATGCTTCAGAAGTAATTTTCATCTTTAGTTCATGTTATTGTAGTAGAACTGGAACCTTATTGTAAAGTGTTAGCAAAATTATTAATAAAAAATATTATTAAAGATAATACAGGATGAAATATAAATATTGAGGGATTATTCTAAAATGTTTTTCTCTATGAGAAAGTAAAATGTGCTGGCCCTGGGACGTTATCATCATCATATATTTGTAATATCAGTTGGTAATACCATGGTACTTTGATATAGACGATACCGCTGATGTTTGGTATGTCCAAAAACACGGTATTACTATTACCATGTTATATGAGTAGAAGACAAGGTAAAACCACACAACATACACTGCTGTCACATGTACACATTGTCAACTGTCAAAAAGACATCACGTTTAGTGAGATCAATCTGTTAAACTATCAATGTTAGCTGACAAAACGGCACTAACGTTACATGTTCATTTTCTCATATTTAACAGTTTACCTTTAATAATCAATAATAATGAAATCCCTAAGGCAAACAGATGTGTATAAGTTCAGCTAGCTTGCTAACTTACACTCCCTCAACAGAGACTTCATTTTTAGCTCTGTGATAGTAAACCACATGAAACTGCCGTCTACAGTTTCACATAACTCTTTCCTTACCTGTCGAGCAAACGGTAAGCAGCGATCTGTCGGTGATTTTAGTCGCTGTCATCAACTTTGTTTTTGTAAACAGTGGTTTCGCTTTGTGCTGTGTGCAACGACGAAATGTGTCCGACTATGCGGAACTAATACTGTTTTAAAAGAGTAAACGTGCTGGAAATTTTACTACCATCCTGATGATAAAACACTTTACAAACAAGCAATGTTTAGTTACGAAAAATGCTTATTGTTTCTTATTACGTAAAATTTTAACTTTAACTTGGCATTTCTCTTTAGAGATAACACTAAAGTTGTATGTTAAATGAAATGTAGAAATCTATTTGAGGTAAAAATATGAGATTATTGTAAAAAAAAAAAAAAAAAAAAAAAAAAACTTCTCACCCAGTGTTGGTGTGAGTTCTAACATAGCCTACTGCCCTTCTGATTCTAAGCTGCCCCCAAAAAATCTTCCTACAAATCAATATGTTCAATGAGTTGTGTAAAAACGCACAGTATAACTGTTGCCATATGCCAGGAAAGTCTTAAACAAAATATGTTTGAAATGAGGAGGTTATCAGAACATGATTAGATTATAGAATTGCATCATAGAGTCACAGGACTTTGCAAATACAAATCCAGACCTTTTAAGCATAGGCCTATACATCTTCTGTGTAGGCCTTTGCAAATATTTTAGGACCTTATAATTAAGGTTCAGACACACAAGGCACACACCTGCTCTTCCCTCAGCGCCCCAATGATCAGTGTTTCCGGCTTTAGGGAACACCAACGGATTAACCACATGTGAGCACTGAGATCCAACCAAAGCCCACTGAGTGCTCCCTCCCTCCCAATCTCTCTCTCTGGGTATCTTTATTTCGGTATCTCCCAACGGCTTTTTGAAAAGTTCTGGCTCTATGGGTTTATTGTCCAGCCACACACATAGTACACAAACAGAACGACATATAAAGAGATGTAACCACCATTTCTGTTTATAAAGAAATCACCCACACAACCAGCCAACCAGCGTGAAAAGCCACAGTGCAGACAAGTTTCATAAGCCTCTTTTACAGGTAAACCACCATATCTACATGACTGATAATCACTCCTCTGCTCTCCAATTGTATTACTCTCATAATACATACAAAAAACTACATAGAAAAGGTGGTTAGTATTTATTATTGTTGTTTTCTTTATGTATTTTGCATACATATAATAGAAATATACATTTATTATTTATATTATTTATCATTTTGCGTGTGTGTGTGTGTGTACAGTACCATTAAAAATGGTGGGGTCAATAAGATTTTTTTAAAGAATGCGTTAAATTGACCAATAGTGACAGTAAGTACATTTATAATGTTACAAAAGATTTATATTTTAAATAAAAGCTGTTCTTTTTAACTTTCTGTTCATCAAAGAATCTTGAATAAATGTATCATGATAAGAAATGTTTCTTGATCACCAAATCAGCATATTAGACTAATTTCTGAAGGATCATGTGACCCTGAAAAAAAATTGCTTTGCCATCACAGCAATAAATTACATTTTAAAATTAAAATAGAAAAGAGTTAATGCAGATAAATGCAGCTTTGGTGAGCGTAAGACACTTTATTAAAAAACATTTTACCAAAAATATTACCAACCCCAAACTTTCGAACAGTAGGGTGTGTGTCTACACACAGTATGCTTACACAAATGTGTGATCTTAAATATCGATAAAACACTGATTGAGCAGAGACATAGAGAAAAGAGAGCGTGAGATACATAAAGGCAGAGAGAAGGAGTGGGAGGATGGAAAAAAACTGAAAGTGCTTGTGGTGGAATCTAAAAGGGCTTTTGAGGGGAGAATCTGAACCTAACAACCTGGCAGTCTGCAGTGTGTTCAGCGAAACACACTGCAGTCTTTACAAATCAGTCTTAACTTTTGACAAGAAGCAGCGCTCTCCATCTCTCCAGAATGTCCCTCCCCATACCAGCCGAGGGGGAGTCCCACTGTAGCAGGGTAATACCATGTGTCTGTGTAGGGACCAATCTTCATCATATCACCATCATCTTCACTTGAACCCTAAAACTCAAAAGGCCAGACCACATTATTTCAGATGAGATTAGAATCTGGAATACCCCTCACAGATCAAACAGGCCAGTGCAGCCTACACTTAAACTTCATGCCAAAACAATATGGGACTATTCTGTTTAAAATCTATTAGAACTAAATGTTTACATTTTCTGAAGAAGATGCGATTGGTGTTTGCCTGTGCCACACACAGTGCTGAGGTGTTTAGCCATGCATTCTGAGTGTTTTCATAGCTATATGGTTGCTGTGTTGTTCATGGCTGCAAAAGGGTCCATTCCTGTACATGTGATCTGCAACTGTTAGATATGGCTCAGGTTTCTCTTTCAATGCAATTCTATTTGATCTTTTGCCCACTTTTTCATCTACTAGAAAGTCTTTCATGTTGACCAGCAATTTTATGCTATGTCATAACTGTTGGTGTTAGAGCTTTTGTCAAGTGTTTGATTATCTTGTTCAATTTAAGACCACTCGAATATGTTATCTCCATCAAGCAGTATTAATAAATATATAAAATTGTTTTTTAATATAATATTTGTCAGGTAATCTTGTATTTAATAAACCTTTATTTTATTTCTTTATTTTTCATTTCATATTAGAATCAAGCAGTATCAATAAATAACCTGACAATAGTATTTAATCAACTTTTATTTTATTTTTATTTTTGAAATAGTTCTATAAAATGATCTGAACTAATGCAAATGTGCTCTTTGGCATTAGAGATGATTTGCATGTGTGTGTGTGTGTGAGCCCCGGTCCCGCTCTTCCGCTAAAGCTTTGTTTCCAGTCTCCACAGTGTGAGTCCAGCCCTGCTGATCCCCTCAACACACTCGCTAACAGCCAATCAATACATCATGAGCCACACAAACACGCCACACCATACTTACAGGGAAATGAGGAGTGTGTGTGTGTGTGTGTGTGTGTGTGTGTGTGTGCCTCTCCCCTGCAGCTCTAATACAGGGTTTTAATGAAGACTCCAGGGGGGTCGGCTACCTGTCACTCTGAATCGATCTGCCCACCTCCAGACTGACAGCTTCACCAACCTACCATCCACCTGTCAAGTGTGTGTGTGTGTGCCAACGTGAGAGTGTTTATAACATCCTCTGAAAGCTTGATATATATAATATACTGTACGTACACACACACACATATATATATATATATATGTTTTCTACAGATTTCACAAATAATTATACATAATAATTATATGTATTATATATTTATTAGATATATTTCATAGTTACAATCAATATCCTCCGATTATATGTCCTCTGTGTGTGCGTGTGTGTCTGTGTGGTCAAGCCTTTTCTTACTATCTCTTATTTATTTTAAAAACAATAAATAGTGTGTGTGTGTGTGTGTGTGTGTAGGTACGTTTATGTGCATGTATGCCCATGCATGCTCAGCTTTGCTTTCGACAATCCAAGATAAATTAGAAGGGTGATGGAGGAAGACAGAGAAAGAGCAGCCGTGTCAGTGTGAATGTGTGCGAGTGCGCCTCTGCACCGAAATGTCACAACATGGATCGATGGGGTTTAACGAGGACCGTGGGCCTGATGTGGTCAGAATCCCCCAAAATGATCTGAATCCGTCCCGAGCTCAATCTCATAACTGAAGCTCAATGCAGTGGGGACCTTGACCAGAACCCCCCCCCAAATACACATATTAGGGTACTTGATGGTATTAGACAGTAAGGACACCTGGCACGTCAACGCTATTTGAACTTTACAAAGGGGGAGTCCCTCGGCCTCATCCTGAGTCGCAGCAACAAACACAAGCTTCAAGAGAAAAACACTTCTGACGCTTTTAAACTGAGGTGAACAGAAAAACGACACTTCCACTCAAATAATCAGAAGGTTTTTTTATGATTTCAAAGTGCTGAACAGAGCCTCCAGTGAACCAAAGAGAAAAAAAAAACTAAACAAACCAAAAAAGAGACATTGAAAAACATGTTTTTTTTTTTTTTCATGTTTCTTCTCCAAAAACAATGCACAACTTGTACCACAAGATTTGAAAAAGCTATCAGATAAAAACACTTCAAAATATTAGTTTTGTATTGTGTATATATATTAGGGGTGTAACGATACACGTATTCGTATTGAACCGTTCGGTACGAGGCTTTCGGTTCGGTTTTCGGTACGCATTTTTGAACCGAACGGTTCGTTGGACCATTTTTCCTGCCGACCAAAATTTCGTTATTTCAAATGAAGGCGCGTCACGCGTGGCAAGCGCGCTCATAATGTGCGTGACCACAACATTGCCCAACATCAAATGGCAAATGTAATGTAAGCGGAACGAAACCACTCGTTATTGTGTGGTTGAAGGACCGTTTATCAGTTTGGACAAATACAGCGCGAGCCGATCTTAATCATCAGCACTGTTACTACACAGCCAAATCCAGTAAAGAAAGCATTTGAATTCGCCACTGAAGTAATAACATCGCTGCAAGATCTAGTGAGAAACATTCGCATTTCTCCGTTATTAACGGATCAAACAGCGCTGACGTGGAAACCAGGAAGAAACATTGTGCCATGAATGAACTATCCAGTGTCCACAGATCAGCAACATTCACCATGGGTTTACTGTAGTAACACTACTAACTGTAACCATGGAAGTTTGGCAGGAATAGTAGGCTATAATGCTTTCAAGTAACATCACGTCGGTTTTATTTTGACATTATGAATACAATTGCTGCCCTCAAATGTTAATCTGAACTAAAATAAACCTTTGTTTATAACTACTACAATATTACATTTAATTTTGTCCAAGGAGCTGTTTTGTTTTATAAGCTCCTAAGAAAAGTCAAGTATAGCTCCATCATTGCTCAAAGTTAAAAAATATCATACTTTATGATGTTAGTTTTAATAAAACTATAATTAAAAAGATTAAATCAAGGAAATTTCTCTGGCATTTCTTTCTTTTTGCTGTATTGGAAACGTACCGAATCGTACCGAACCGAACCGTGACACAAGTGTATCGTATCGAACCGAACCGTGAATTTTGTGAACCGTTACACCCCTAATATATATATATATATA